GCAATTCTATTATTAATAATTCGCCAAAATAAACCTAAGGCTACAAGGAGCCTGAATCACTCTTCTTGCAAAAAAGTGTCGTATTGATGGGATATAAAATATTAACAAAGCCTCCCACGGAATTAAGATGCCCTTTTCTAATGAGTCAACAAGTCTCTGTAACTACAATTATTTTTCATAACGGCAAAAAAAAATCATAAAATCACCGAAAAACCGTTTGCTCTATTTTTTGGTCATGCCAGGCATGCAAGTTGAAAAATCCTAATATACTTCACAAATAAAACTATACACAGTAAGTGTCATTCATGTAAAAGTCAGTTTAAATTGGTCTAGTTGCTTCAGATATAAATGTCTAAAAATGGATGAAATTTATAGGTCACAAATGATCATTTTATATGAAAAGAAAAGCAATTCCAAAAATATTCAGTTGATAGTTTTGGTCATGTGACTTAGTTTGTAGCTTTTATATTGCTGATCATTTTTGCTGTGTACATTTTCTGTCTGTCTATTTTTTCTATAAAGGTTGCCAATAGAAGGAAGACATGCTATAAATATTTTCAAAAGTCGCCATTTTAGAAATGGATGGATGGAGAGAGGATGGGAGGGAAGGACATCGATCCGGTTTGGCAGAGCATCCTTCGACTTGCGACAGTACAAAAGAATTAATTGCACATACATTTATGAAAAGGGCTTACTGTCCATACTCTCGGGTAATCCTTTCTATGCATTATTGCTAAATAAAAAATAGTATTGTATTTACAAGCCAGAAGCAACCAGATATACAATATTGAAAATGTTGTCTCCTCTAGATCCTAATATTTTGGTACGTATTACGTTAAACAAGAGAAAGGAGGAAAATATGGAATCCGTTAATTTTGAATAGTTTCAAGTTCAACATGAATAGTGTTTAAAGTGACAATTAACTTGTTTTATATACCAATTATTTAGCAGAACATACTTAATTCGGACACGTTCATATCATATAAATGTCAAGGAAATACAATAGCTATCTTTTTGCGAGAAAAAAAGTTCCAGTGGGTTAATCTTTATTTCATGTTTGAAATTGCTTTAAAAACGAAATATAACAGACAATTATATACGTTGAAAAATAATCAAAGAATCGTCTACATTCATCTTCTGGGAAATTTCATATGATATTAAATATTTAAAAGTAATCTTGAATGTTAGTAGCAAAAATGTAGATTTAGGAATCCAGTCAGCAATTAAAGATAATGTGACATTTGTTTTATACCAGACCTTGAAGTTTGGTTCAATTGCATTTCATGTCAAAACAATTCTTCTGAAATTGACAGGATTTTAATTCAACTTTATTATCTCTTTGATTTGTTCACTGATTTGAATTCAATGTGAATATTTAATTGGATAAAGTGTCGTTTGAATTTAGTCAATAGTAATGCCTTTTAAAGGAGAAACTCCTGTATTCATCATAAAAGTTTATATGAACATATATACATAATCAGGGTCCCGTTTATCGAAACAGTCTTATGATTAGGACATGTCCTAAGAGTATCTTAGGACATACCTTTGTCCTAAATGGGTTTATCAAACGTGTCGCGATTTAGGATTTTATCCTAGGAATTGTTATCATAACGTTAATGGTAGCAATTTTACTGCACCAGATGCGCATTTCGACAATTAATGTCTCTTCAGTAATGCTCGAAGCCAAAATATTTGAAAATCCAAAACTAATTAAAACATTGAAGAGCTGATAAAACCAAAAAGGACAAAAAGTATGGCCAACGCTGGGCAAGGAATCAGAGCTTGGCGTGAGGGAGATATATATTCCTTAATTTGAAATTATTTCCAAAATTTTGTAACAGCAAATTTCAATAACACATTATCCGTATTTTTATGCCAGTACCGAAGTACTAGCTACTGGGATGATGATACCCTCGGGGAATAAAAATCATCCAGCAGAGGTATCGTCCCAGTGGTTGTTATAACGTTAATGGTACCAATTCTACTGCAACAGATGCGCATTTCGACAATTAAGGTCTCTTCAGTGATTTTCGAAGCCAAAATATTTTAAAATCCAAATCTTATTCAAAAATTGAAGAGCTGATACAACCAAAAAGGACAAACAGTATTGCCAAAGTCGGCAGGGAATCAGAGCTTTGTCAAAATTATTTCCAAAATTTTGAAACAGAAAATTTCAATAACACAACATATTGGTGATACCCTCGGGAACTAAAATTCCACCAGCAGAGGTATCGACCCAGTGGTAAGTTTATGACACCAATTTGAGTGTCTCAAGATGGTTCTATCTTTTGGATATATTCTATGATACTTTTTGTATCTCAAACCCTCTTTAATCACTATTGGTTGAAATATTGGAAATTTTAATAAAAAGTAAAGACGGTTGTCACTAATAGAGCAGGAACTGCTTACTCTTGCTGAGCACCTGAGTTAATCTCCGGTTTTAATTTAAGTTTGGTTCGTGTTTGTTTAATTTTTAGTTTCTGTGTGGTGTTTTATTGCAGTTTTGTTTTTTGGTCATGATGCTTTTTTGGATTTTTTTACTTGTGATTTTATTACTTCTAGCTTCGTATCTAATATCCCTGTCTCTCTTTCTTTCTCTTTACACTACATTTTATAAGAATGCATGTTTGTCATTACAGCAAATTGAATTATATATAGGATAGTTTTTTAATTATCTTCTCAAACTTGATTACAAGTCCTCAAAAATAAGTCAAATAATAGATTACAGTCAAACCAATGATAAATCCGGACAGGAAATGACTTTTAGACTATCTCAAATAGATTAGCCAGTGGTGTAAACTATTGTCATTGACAATTTTGTTTTCAGGAAACCTTTTCTCGTGATAAATAATTTTCAGCAAACAAGATCTTTCGTCTTATAAAAAATTCAATTTACTAACCAAGGAATTTATTAATTAGCTTCAAGAAAAGGCTTCATTAAACACCGTGTACAGTCTGTATGTAAATAGAATATATCGTATTTTGCTGAGAATACTGTATTTTATATATATTGCAAAACATATAGTGGCATTACCAGCAGGAAGAATCAGATAGAGTATGTGAAGATTTTTTTGAATTGATACTACTATAAGAAAGCCAGATTTGTTTTAAAAAAAGGTGTTTATGAAATGATAAAGAAACTCAGAGGTTTTTTTTTTAAATGACGCGCTTGTTTTATTAACCCGACATTGTGACATAGTACGATCGGGTTTGGTGTTATATTTTCCCGTTTAAACTGCTGAAAAGATAACACTTGACACGTATGTACAAGTAAACATGTACTTTGGTCAAGAGAATTTGTTTAGGGGTATATATTTACATACCGAAACAATATCTCTAACATTATATTTCTCTGTTGTACGAAATCTTAGAGGACGGAACCATGGCATATGTTATTATAATATGTCTGATAATATATTGATGTGCATTTTCGTTTGATTTCAAATGTGCATTTAGCATTCTATCAGTGATCGAAATAAATAGGATAAATACTGACAAAAATAGTTTTGAATTACTTTAATGCTTCAATTTCCAATAGACCTTCAAATTTGACTCTTCGAAAATTTACAGTAATAATATAAACTTTACTAAAACAAAATCCAAAAATACATTCAATGGCTAGCTGCAAATATAATTATCCCTTATATGATTATTAACTTATTCAACTACAACACAGTGACTTTTTTGTACTTTTACAATAAAGTATCATGTTTGTTTTGGTATTCTATGTCAATCACAAGGAAACAAAAGACGCCCCATACCATCTCTACAAGATAAAAATATTTATTCAAATATGAGCAGCCTCATTATATGAAATATTGCTTCTATATGCTAAACGTTCATTTACCGGTAAATTCATAGATGTCACAAATTTATAATTTGTACTCATTTGAAATACAGGGGGCCTCGGTGGCCGAATTGTGTAAGTAGTCGAACTACTGTATCACTAGCCAGTCAACACTGAGGTTGTGAGTTCGAATCCCGCACGTGGCAGCTAAGCTAGATTCCAATCTTAATTGATTAGGATTGTCAGTTTTCCTACCGAAGGTCGGTAGTTCTCTCCGGGCACTCCGGCTTCCTCCACGAATAAAAACTGACAGCCACGAAATAGCACAATAGTGGTGAAAGTGTTGTTAAACACCAAACAATCAATCAATCAATCATAAGAAATACGCCTTCCAAAATATACTTACAGAAACAGACATTTAATATATATTTTAGTTAGCTTGACATGTGTTTATGAGGTACGCTCAAAGAAGACAAATACACAAAAAGTTTCATGGTATTAACATAAAACAAAAGGGTCCAACAGTACAGTCAAAACTATATAGAAAAATGAAAATAACACCAAGTCTTTATAAATTGTATGCATCCGAAGCGCTTTTCTAGAGTTACCTCCATCATCAACTTTCAAAACCAAAAATTTGAAAGGCAAGGATGTATAAGTACTCAAACACAAGAAGAGCTATATGACCAAAAGAGACCTAAAAATAATAGCCAAAACTCATGTAAGGTCAACTTTGTCTGAGGGAGTTGGAACCTTAGTTTCTTGATAATTTCTAAATTTACCAACGGACAATTTAAGAAACTTTTATGTACTAGTATGTTTTTAATTATGTTAGTACCGAAGCACTGACAATGAGCTGATGATACCCTACAGGACTAAAAGTCCACCATCAGTGCTAGAAAATATAAATAACACTTTATAAAGTGTATGCGTCCGAAGCGCGTTTCTTGAAGACGATCTTTTAGAAAATGCATTTAATAAGTTTACAATCAACCATAAAGTTGAAACAGTTAATTCGTCCATGTATAACTATTACGCCCCTCCTTTTCCTTGGACCCTGAATCCGCCCCTGGTATACAGGTATTATGCTGTCCTTCATTTCAGACAAAGCGTAAATAGAAGGCTGCATCACAGGAAATATACCAAGGTTAAAACATAAACTTAAAAGATAAACAGGATGTTATGTACATATAACATGTATATATATAAAACACGTATTTTATAAGGAAGCCGCCTGGTAATCGTTCTCTTGCACATAAATCATCATGTTGGTCACAAAGGTTAGTATAAACTTTTGTTGTGAAATTGTTTTTGGCAAAATGAAAAGGGGGTTTGCATCGCTTTATAATATAGTATAAGATTACTCGCTCGTAAAACTGAAATCTTAAAAGAGTTCCAAAGAAACAATTAACAATGCATGGAACCGCTATAATGTATCGACATTTCGTTCGTATTTAATATTAGACGCCATCTAATCATCCATCGAGATGACCTCCAAACACTGCCGACCGTCATATAACCCGATATTATTATAAAAAGTAAGAAAAGCACGAACAATCGTATAATGACGATTTTTCCATGTCTGTATGATTTCATGTTAAAGATTAAAAATATATGTAAATCACCGTTTTATCTGTATAAGAATGATATTGTGTGGGACCCATATCAGTAAACTAAATTGTTATTCCAGGTGTGACCCTTTTTTCACTTTTCAATGTTGACATTCTTTTCTTTTGATGAATGAACATGCTGACCGTATGCTTTACACATGTGCAACCATCTTCACTAAAGTTTAGATAAAAGTTGCATGAATACGGATTCAAATGAGTATATTCATTGACTTGCAAGCCAATAGTTTTTTTTTTTTAGCTTATTTTGATGAAATTGGACTAAATTGACTGCTAATAGCGAAATATTATTTTGAAAATGGTGCACACGACTTTCAAACCCGTGCGTACGACTTTCAAAATGGTTTGCACATTTTTAAAAGTCGTTTGCACCATTTTAAAATTTTAGCGCACCAGTTTTTAAAAGACGTGTGCACCAATTTTAAAATGTCGTGCGCAAGAGTTTCGAAGTTGTGAGCACCAGTTTGAAATACGTGCACCCGATTTTTTATACTGGTGCGCACCAGATTTAATCTCCGGGAACATGACGAAAATAATTATATTTTCATAGCACTTAAGGGGCTCCGTTGTATCTGTGACTATGCATCCCTTTAAAAAAATATGTTATTTAAAGTAAAAAAAGTATGTATAAAGAATCTGTCTGATTTTTTCAGCTTCTGGGTTTAATAATTTTAGTAGCTGATGTTTTGGGAGACGTTCTTCCTGTGATCAGAGATCGCAGACAAGGTATTTATATGTATAAAATGAAAGTGTCTTTGAATAAAAAATTACAGATCACGATCACCAAATGACTTTTTTTCAGAATGATTATGACTGAAACTTCTCTCCAATTCTACGCTCTATGTATTTCTAAAGATATTTCATATAATTTTGAAATCGTTTTTATTCAAGAAACAAATGAATGATAAAGATATCCAAATCATAATCCAATTAATAAAAAACTCCTTTTATACATTACACATAAAATCCAATTTACGTTTAAATGTAGCAAAACAACACCAAATATTAGTGGATAATAAATAATGCATACAACAACCAACACATCTAACTTTAAAGTATATATAATAAATAAGATAGATTTGAATTGAATTATTTTAAATGTTTTTTTTAGATATTCAAATAACTTTCATGATGTCGTCATATGTTTCTTCTCAAATACATTTTTCAATGCAATATCTTATCTACATACATTCCATTTGTCGTCATTAACCCAATTAACTAGAGCTCTGCCAATTAACAATTACCTATCTTAACTGACCTGTATAAATTATAATCTACAAAAGATGTTAGTTCGAAGAGGAGGGGGCCGGGGGGGGGGGGGGGGGGGGGGTTTGGGGGGGGGGGGGGTTAAAATAACACTAAACATTATTATGTTTTCACTTGGAGGACAACTTCTATATTATGTCCAAAGTTTTATGACACCAAAGAGGCTTACATTCCTTGGAACAGACACCAAAGTTTACTAATGACAATTCTTTGAAAAATCAGTGTTATCGGTTTTCTTAACTCATCTTTGATCGCAGAGTTAAAACTAAGTTCAAAATGTGTGGTGACTGAAGAAAATGTGAAAGAACTCAAGTTGAACAGATTTGTCCTTACAACAGCCCCGAAAATACCTACAGGTTGTACACCTATATAATTGATTCGGGGTGTAGAACTATGGTCAATCCAAATCATACACATCTCCTTATGTATGTATTTTTATCCATTTAAGGTCGGGCAATCCTAATAATCCTTGCATCTCTAACCGTGCATGCTGTGCAGCTTTGATACGAGAAAAGGAAAAGTCTAGTAAAGACAATCCAGAAAATGTTTCTACTCTAGATCAACATATACCACGCCAGGTTCAAAATAATTTTCCAAACAACAACAAACTTCCGAATCGTCCTGATTCATAGAGAAAAATAAACATCGTATAGAGTTACTATTGCTCATAGCTTTTTCTCTTGTGTGTTCTGGGTCAGGGCAAAAATATGATTCTAGTCTGCGATTAGGACTAATATAAGTGGTTTGTACGACCATCTCTTGAAATATAACTTGATGTCTCAGAAACTGTAATCGTTGTAATAGTGACCTTTCAGAAACATTTCATACATTTTACGATTTGTTATATACTATAATGATATTGACGTAACGGGTATTGTTTTATGTATATTGTTCATCCTCGGATTATTGGTCCGGGATCGTATGATCCATAATATAGTCTTGTCTCATATGACATTATCCCGTCAACATAGGGGACCAGCTTTGATATTTCTCCATTTCAATCCACTAGTCATTAAATGTAAAGTCTGTTTAATGGTCACATCTTCAATATTTATATAATATCTCCAAATATCATGTATAATATACGTCATATACAATGAGTGAACACAAATACAATCTCTTGATAAAGTGCGCGTGTGTACCAGTTGATATTCTAACCAGAACCTTCTATATATTTATGCTCAAACTGACCAGTCTCAACTTTCTCGTGATAACGTACTATTACATCTGCTGTTTATTTTACACCAAACCTTGCTTTATGTTTACTGAATATTTTGATAAATTTGACTATGTTATTGCAACTCTACAGTACATGATCATCATCCCATGTACAGTATACACTGTCAACATAAACGATTAAAGTATTGACAATCAACTCTTTGATGCAATTGACCTCGCCACAATTTTATAATTATCATCTGCCGAAAATTACAAAGGCTTATTTGTCATGTAAATTTGAATGTAATTTTACTAGCTGTCAAAACTTAGTCCATGTTACTACACTAGTTGATGCCTATGTTCCAGAGAATATGAGTATTTGGACCTTACGCGTATGCTCTTGACCATATGCGTATACTCATATGGTCCGACCATACCGAAATCGGCACCATTTACTAGCTGAAATCATTTATCTTTGACATATTGTCTGAATCTAGGTGTATATCTCATCTGCCTTCGCTAGAGTCATATTAAAGCGCCTTTATCCTGTCGAAACCACAGGCGTTAGGGGCATGAACCTTTTTTTTCCTTTTTCTCTTGGTGTTCAAATTAATTTTATGCTAATTTCTACTAATTTTCACGTAATTGATGCGGTTTTGTTGCTATACATATGGTCATACAATTACAGTTGTTAATACTTGCTGCCTCTCTATTCTTATTTTCCACACAAGAATAAAGGGACAGCATGTGTAAACTACTCTTATTGTAAAATCGTATCAATAGGACCCTAAATAACTAAAACTGATGTGAAATATTTAAGAAATTTAATTTACATAACAAAATTAGGCTTTATACAACGAAATATGGATAAATGTCCAATGAATATAAAACGTCAGGCATATATAACTCTAGTAAGACCAACACTAGAATTTGCTAGCAGTGTCTGGGACCTACATCCAAAAAAACACATACACCAACTGGAAATGGTCCAAAGAAGAGCAGCCAGATTCATCAGACATGAGTATTTTCGAGACCCGAGCATAATATCATCTTTATTAGAGGACCTAAAACTACCACAATTACCGGAGAGACGAAAAACATCACGTCTACTCCCTTTTCACAAAATAATCCACCAACTTATTGCAATCCCAATTCCAGAATACTTGATGACACCAGCAAGAATGACTCATCAGTTCCACACAAATTGTGTTTTTATCTACACCGGCGCCGGTATATCTATGTTAAACACCTGTACATATGATTTTAAAAGAGCACAGTTTGGATGACACAACAACTTTATCTCAAATATTCGTGTGATCTTTACGGATTACAATGTAGATGTGGGATAATGCTTTGAAATATACTAAGTTTTCACCATTAACCCATTAACAAGTTATAAAATTTAAAATTGAAGGCAAAGGGGGGAGGGGGTGTAAAATAAAAGATAATTTATGTTCTATCATGTATCTTTTTCCATGATTCTATTAATATATTGAATTGACATATTCCATTTAGATACTACTATTTTTGCTGATCCATCTGTCACCATTAGAGATTTTTTTTTATCTTTTTTGTTTAAACAAGTAGTTCCAATATATTAAAATTTTTATGTGTCATTATTAAAAAAAATGTTTAGTTTGGTGCAAAAAGAGATAACAGACAGCCACTAATTATATACGACACAAACATTTTAAAATCATTTTGAACATGTTGTATCAGTCTTGTTTTTTACTTGTTTCATATTTTATCTTTTCTAGTTGTTGCTTGCAGCGAAAGGCAAACTTATGGAGAAAGTGAGTAAACCAAAAAGATAGAAATATTAAATGTATTATTTGAATTGGTGTTTTTTTTAAATATCTAAAAACCTTAGCTTTTCAAGCCTATCATACACGCATTCTTAAAAAGATTTCAAAGAAACTAAATCGTCAATCAAGGGCATTAAATCAATATGAATGCGTAAACTTCTCTTTTTACTGGCAAACCTGTTGAAATGTGTTTGTACATGTGAGATGATTTCACTATACTTATGTAGTTACTAAGCAAATTCCCCCAGTTTCTTCCTTACTTTCCTCATTTTCAAAACCGTTTTGAATTTTGTATGTAATCCATCTTGTTTTAATATATCGGATCAAACTAAATTATAACATCTTGAATTACCTCTACACAAATCTTTGTATTCGTTGATTTATTTATCAAGTCAACAATCTGCAATTTGTACGCACACAAAGTTATTTTGAAATTACCTTGTTTTTATTAATGTTATGAGGTCTTTGGTGGATATATATTTCATTTACATGCAAACCACATCTCCTTATTTTTGTACACATCAGGTACACCCGAGATATAAGTACTGGAAGTCGAAAATATTTAACATTTGAGATTACAAAAACCAAAAGCAACACTATATTGAAAAGCCAAATTTAGCTGAAGTTGAATTTATGGATAATTCTCCGAGAATAAATGTGATAACAAATTACATTAACAGGAAATAAATCCAAATATTTGTAAACCGTTAAATAATTAAACATAAGAAAGATTTACTGGATGTCACTTGTAGTAGTATAACTTGCCTTTTTATAAGTATAATCATTAGTGCTTACATCCACTTCATTTATACTTTGGTGGATAGTTGTCTCATTGGCATTCATACCACATCTCCTTATTTTTATTTTGCTACTAACGATTAGCCCTGTGTCGATTCAATGGTAGGTATAGTGTCCGGCTGAGACCCGGGGGCTGAGATCATGTTTTTTCCAGTTAATCTGTCCACTATTTTCGAGTGTAGACCAGTTTTTTTTCAAGTTATATTATGTTGACATGCGATCATGTCGATTTACTGCTGTTTTGCAAGTACAATAATTTTATTTATGATTGTTCGTCTTATGCTGATTACATTACATGTTTTGAGCACAAACGACGCACAATTTCCGTGTTGTTCACTAAAATTCGGTCTTTTATGTTGTCCGGTTTTTTCGACAGCAACATTATTAAAACGTCCAGGTTTTTTAACAAATGGTCCGGGTATTTTTTATGAAAATATGAATAAGAAAGAAGACGTGATTAGCCTTAGAAACTGACTTTTTCTAGTTTATAACTGTAATTTAGTGAAGGACAATATTATATATTCCCAATAAGTTACTAAACAAATTTAACCCTTTTTAATTTTAATGCAAATTTTCTGTTCTGAAATTGTTTTACCATAACCTTGCAGTATGAAAATATAATAGAAATCACTGTATTTATAAAACGGTCTGTAGCACCGAGTACAGGGGACTTATAGTTTTTTGTTTAGGGGCCAGCTAAAGCCCGCATGCGGGTGCGGGATTTTCTCGCTGTGTTGAAGACCCATTGGTTGCCTTGGGCTGTTTTCTACTCTTTGGTCGGGTTGTTGTCTCTTTGACACATTTCCCGTTTCCATTCTCAATTCTATTATATCAGAAAAAAAGACCCAATTCTTCAAAACTATTCTTTTCACAATTTAAACACTTGTCAACCTGGCCTTGGGATAATGAGCTTTACTAAGGTATTATAGTGCGTTATTGCTTTGTGAACAACTGTAACATACGCTTGATCAGACTCCTATTCACAGAAGTAGCATTTGAACATTGTGCTTGTTTTTCCATTTAAGGAACGGTAAAACCATCAAGACAAATAGTAAATGAAACATTAAAGATGTGTTTTCTGTTAAAAACCTATAAATACCCGCTAAACACACTATATTTACGTACGTCTCAATCAATTGTGCTTACATAAAGATTGTTTACATCACGAATATTTAGTGGATGGAATCCATATCAGTACGTTAAAGACAGTTCACATCGTTATTGAATCGACATCGATATACGTATGTTTTGATTGATACAACATGTTTACCTGGGCGTTGACTTACTTGGATGCAAAATTATTTGAGCTATCAAAATATAAGTATGCCGATGTCCATTTAATTTATAAGCTGTGAAAAACAAAAATATATACAAATAAACGATGCTTTTTTTATGAAATGTGCGTGTTAATACAGCATTATCAAACTGGTTCAATGTGTTGGTATCGTGCTTTGAAAAGTACTTTATATGAAACTTTTCATTGTTTTTTAAACGTAAATGCACTGACATATAACATTTTAAGTCAGGAGTTTTGTTTATTCACTCGATTAAACCTGGACCACACTAAAACAAAACCGGACTGCCTAGAAAAAACCATATACATATAAAAAAAATTATTCTCAAAATGTCCTTGACATTCCAATTACAAGATATTTTGAAAAGTGTCTGTCAGTGAATATCTATGGATATATTATTCCATGTATGCATTTCCTTTGACATTTGCATTGGTATTTTTACAAAAATGTTATTATTCTATGTTTTGACATAAAAGCATTGTAAGGCTAAATTAAACATTCATAACACAAAATAATGTAGAGTTGATAATAGCTTTTTATCACAAATACCAAATTACCTTTAGTTACTTTATATTAAGTGTAAGCATCTATTTCGTGTCTTAACAGAAAGGAGGTCTGTTTGTTTCCATTTTTTTTTTTATCATATTCACTCGAAAAAACACGATCCGAGCCGGACACAATTTTCTTTGCAAGTTATTTTTCTCACCAAACATTTTACGGTACTATCATGTATATAGCCAAAAAGTTGCGGATTGTCCTTTAAATATTTGATTTTGGATTGATAGAGTATTGATGAAAGTTGTACTATACTGCGGTTGTTTAATTTTTGCGCCTTTAGACTACATATTTCTGTTGTATTTTCTACATTGAAATTCTGTACAGAAATACGATAATTGGTGTTTACAAAAGATAAGGTGTCTTGCTTTTGCATGAAGTTGTTGTATGAAGTTTACTCCTAACGAAAGTACAGCCGCAGACTGGTTCTCTCCCTTGCAACATACGGTTATCTGTCAGAGCCAACCGGATAAAGGACAGGGAACCATTCTAGTACAATCGCTAATCTAAACATACAATCTAAAAATAATTGACTTCGGGTTTTCTTTCAGTTATTGCGGCCATTCTTTCATACGATGTTGTTATTGTTGTGCTTGTACTTGTGTTTTTGTTATCATTTATATTGCTATTATAAAGTTATAAAGTTAAGTGCCTTTTGGTTATCAGAGTTGTATTGTATGTTCGTTTATTTACCTTTGTTAATTCAATGATCTAAATTGAAAAAGGGTAACAAGTTTAAACCTACTACATTTGGATGTGCCGTCTTGTGTAAAGAACTTGGTCAGTTTGGGCTTATTCGCATTTCGACTTAGATGTCACTCTATATAAAGAAAAATTTCTCATCCCACCCGTGTATAAATTTTTAGATTAAGTTTGTAAGAATTCAACATAGGCGAAATGGAAAATTATGAAAACATAAAACCAAAGCAAAATTAATTCGTGTTCAATGAAGTTTATAAACGTACTGTATTTACTCGATACATTCGTGTTCAATGAAGTATAAATGTAGTGTGTTCACTCAATACATTCGTGTTCAATGAAGTATAAATGTAGTGTGTTTACTCAATACATTCGTGTTCAATAAAATATATAAATGTAGTGTATTTACGCAATACATTCGCGTTCAATGAAGTATAAATGTAGTGTGTTCACTCAATACATTCGTGTTCAATGAAGTATATAAATGTAGTGTGTTTACTCAAAACATTCATGTTCAATGAAGTATAAATGTAGTGTGTTTACTCAATACATTCGTGTTCAATGAAGTATATAAATTTAGTGTGTTTACTCGATACATTCGTGTTCAATGAAGTACACATATAGTGTGTTTACTCGATACATTCGTGTTCAATGAAGTATACATATAGTGTGATTACTCAATACATTCGTGTTTAGTGAAGTATAAATGTATTGTGTTTACTTGACACATTCGTGTTCAATGAAGTATAAATGTATTGTGTTTACGCGATACATTCGTGTACCATGAAGTATAAATTTAGTGTGGTGTTTACTCAAGACATTCGTGTTCAATGAAGTATAAATGTCGTGTGTTTAATCGATACGTTCAATGGAGTTTAACTGTAGTGTGTTTACTCGACACATTCGTGTTCAATGAAGTATAAATGTAATGTGTTTATTCGATGCTTTTTTGTATATACTGGTGTATATTTGAAGGAAGACGCTGTGCGGTCAAAGACGGCGTTAAGCAGTTGTTACAGAAAAGAAATGAAGATTGGTCCTGGGGAGAACGTGTAGAAGCTGAAGCAATAATTGCACTTCACTTAGCAAAGTACAAAGTATTCAAAAAGACAAAGGCATCTTTATACATCAGTGTAAAACAGATGAATATAGATCTGTTATCCGCTTTATCCAAGTAAACATTTATTATTGTATATTTCATATTCAAAGTTTACATTTATATTTATAGCCTGGCATCCGCTCAACCTCTTCTTCGCGTCTACTGTCGAGCAGTGAGCCAGGATCCAAGGCTTGTATATCTACTAACCAGATTACCAGTGGTAACACAATATGAATCTTAACTGCATTGAATAGAATTATGAATAACTAAATCAATTCCGGGTGCAAACATCAGTACGTGATTTTTATGTCCCGAGGAAAAGAACAAGCAGAGGTGTCAGTTTTATTGATTGAAAAGCTGTAGCCACGAGAGCAAGACATCACCATATCTTAAAACCGCTGCAATATCATTTTTTTGTATGTGATGTTCATATGGCCTATATAATGATGTTTTGGGTTTTCCTATAACATAAGCTCTTTTTTTCTGTAGAAACAATTCTTTGACCAGTAAGGAGTGGGGGCGTGGCAAGCTTGCATATTATGTATTAGGAGTAAAAGCTACTTGTCAGGATCCAAGAGATTTTTATGGCCATGACCTGATAGACAAACTCAAGAACCATCTAATAGTGTCATCTAGCTACCTTGACAGTAATAAATTTGCCTATTCGTTGATTCTTATAGCTTTGTGTAAAGCTGGCGAACCTATTGATACTCACAATTTAAATGATATCTCAACAACCCCAGGATATTACACATTTGGTGTTGGTAAGTTGCTCCGGTCCGTTATACTGAATGATGCCATTTTAATTGAAAATAGTAAAAAATTATAAAAAAATATTTCACGGTATTGAGATTTTAAATTTTTAATCATTTTGATTTTATCACAGTCGTCCGTTGCATATTTGATATTTTTGTTGTTGCTGAAAAATGCATTTTATCGGCAAGTTTTTCATATTTCATGAAACAATGTATTTTTTTAAAAAAATTTTATGGAACTGTATGATAGTTGAAGTTATGGGTTTCTTTGAAAAAGAACGAATATTCATTATATTAGTTTTAAGTAACGCAACAAAACATGAATAATGTACTTTAACTAGGGTTTCCATGCTAACAAGAAATGATAAAAAAAAAACAAATAAAAAACTAGATGTGTCGGAACTACACGAATTGCCCCACTCGCCAAAAAAAAAAAGAAGCCAGTTTTTAAGAGTGGAAATTTGAGAGTGAAGGTCCGTATAACTGTTATTTTCAGTCTTAGTCCAAATCCCGTAATTTCGACAAAAATCAGCGGAGCGGAACTAAACGTAAACTGGATCTGTAACTCATAGTAGACTCACATACTAAAAATCAGCTCAATATTTGAAGGCGTTTAGAAGAAAAGTCTGTATAACTGTTATTTTCACGAAATTTTCAAAGTCCAAAGCCCGTAATTTCGGCAAAAATCAGCGGAACGGAACCAAACGTAAACTCGATCTGTAACTCATCATATAAAACTCACATACTAAACATTAGCTCAATATGTGAAGGCGTTTAGAAAACAAGTACGTATAACTGTTAGTTGCGGAAAGACGGAATGACGGATAAGGGTAACACTATATGGCCATAAAAGTGTCTATTAAGTCAGTGGTTGATATCGATACAAAGGTTACCATGATAGCACCAGGGTGATAATCGATCAAGTAAAAACTTCTTTTATAATTAAGATATAAACTAGATTCTTTATTAAGGATGTTCGCTGATATTGTTTTTGACTTTTTGTCAGATATTTAAAATCCTCTGATTTTATCCATGTAGTGCCACTAAAAATTTTTCTTTTCATAATTTTATTACATATAGTTTAAAAGGCCATTATTCAAAATATCATAAAATCCTTGTTATGTTTTCATAGTTTTTGAAAGAAAAAAGGTGTCAATGTTAAGCGAATGAAAAATCTAGAGAGAATCCAGTCAACTTTTCAATCTCCAAAACAAGGACACGGACCTTTCATTTTTTTCTGCATTTTTAGTTCCGTTGTTTATATACTATCAATGTATAGCATTCTTTAGAATGCTTGTTTTTTTTAAAACAGAATAGCCATTATCCTTAAAGTATATCCAGGGTCAACAAACTAATAAATTTTAAGTACTTCGATTGAAATTTCAGATGAAGCTTCTTTAGTTTACATGGCCTATCATTGTATTGGTAATCCAACATACAAGAAAGCAGAAGACGCAGCGTTCAATTTTATTCTCAAAGCAAAGAATAAAAATGGAACCTTTGGCAATGAGTACTCAACTGCCCTAGCTGTGCAGGTATATAATTGGATTTACCACTAACATAATCAGCTTGTTGGCGAAAACATTTATTTACATTTTGTTTCTCATACTAGCATCGTTACAAACTGTTCCTACATGAAAGCGTGTTATATTTTGTGAAAACCAGTCCGTTCACCAATTTAATCATTTGGCTTTTATAAGGGATACCCCTTCAAAGGAACTAATACACTAACCATAAATTAATAAAATGTTATTGTTAAACATAAACTTAGCGTGGTTTCTTCGATACCAACTGGCCAGATAATAACCTCAATTAAAGATGATACAAGTTTTACTTTCTTATACGTTTACATGTAAATAGTTGATTTGAGAACATAAAATATATGCACAAGTTTCCATTCTTTGCTCTGCCGTGACATAAGTCTTCGTTTGGATCGTATCTGAATTCTTATAGTAATGTATGTACCTATTTTCATTTTTGGAATGATCTGCTGCAGGATTATAAAATAATTATATCATATTATTATGAAATGTTCACTTCATCCAATGATTTGGCTCACTATTATCTACAGAAAATTTCTGTTAGAATTCGTGACAGTCGCACTGCAGGTGTGTTGAATGAGATAGAAACAAATAAAAACGGAGGAATGGGGGATCTGAACAGTTCAACCAAACCGTCTGAGATTAACTTTGCTTGAGGGAGCTGTAATCTTATCATTAATTTAGTAGAATTTCATTATTTCTGAATCAAAAAGTTACAGACAAATGTTTATAATATCATGCAAGTATCAAATGACTCAAAAATATCAAATTTACAAACTAATTTTTTGGGGCCCTTTATAGCTTACTGTTCGGTGTGAGCCAAGGCTCCGTGTTGAAGACCGTACTGTGACCTATAATGGTTTACTTTTATAAATTTTGACTTGGATGGAGAGTTGTCTCATTGGCACTCATACCACATCTTCTTATATCTATGTACTTCTAACAGTTTCATACCAGGTGAAGATTGAATGCATATGATTTTAATGTGGATTCCTATGCGGTATCAGTTTTGCTCATTGTTGAAGGCTGTACGACGACCTATAGTTGCTAACATTTACGTCATTTTTGGTCTCTGGTGGATAGTCGTCTCATTGGCAATCATAGCACATCTCCTTATTATACATACATGACACATTGATGGGTATATTATGAGGAAATGTTCTATATTTTACCAATATTTTTCTGTCCGTAGAAAAATGTTCAAATATTGGATTTTGTAGCCTAAAAGGTATACTAAAGAGAGTTTTTTTTTTATTCTCGCTTTGGCACTAGATTTTGGTCAGCATGATACTGATTAAGCACTTGGCGATAGTTTGAACTCAATACTTTTCATTGTTCTTGAAATTGCCAATATACCATGAATTTTTGTTATCATATCATGATTATACAGTAATTACTTTGCAATTTTAAGGCAATATTTGCAAGTGGAAAAAGAACATTAAGACGCCAGACTAGGACTGGAATAGACTACATGGTTGATTCAATAGGTAATGTTAATATATTTTATAACTACTGAAATAGATAATTCCCCGTCAATTACTAAATATGGTTTATCACAATTAGAAGGTAATATCAAAGAAATTACTCCAATAAAGAAGAAACAATTGACTAAGGAGGAGATATGTTAAGAGTCATTATTTGGCCCCTGAAATAGGAAAACTTATTTAAGCCTTTCCAAATTATGTTAGTTTTATTAATAGACGAACCAATTGCTTTTGTCTTGAAACTTTAGAACAGATAGGTCAATTGTGCTGTCACTATGATGTAATAAACATGTCGAAATTTACGTATTTGACATAAAATTGCCATTTGACGCAATATATATATAAGCATGAGCTTTACCCTAATAGATATTTTACATACGATATTATCTTTGAAAAATACATATCTTTTTGGGTAAAGATATTATTCATATCTAAATATTACTGACAAGACCTCAAAATGAGGCTATGTTGTCAGCTTTTACTATTGGCAGTTGTAAAAAGTTTGAAGCCCTATTACACATATGGAAGACTAAAAAAAATCATACTGATGTCCGAGAGACTTTTGTAATATCTTCAGATCGTCTGAAGGATGTAATTTGAGATATTTATAGTAATTTTGATTTTCGAATCCAAGGGACCCTTCTCATACCTTCCCCTTTAAAAACACGTAGAAAAATATATATTTATGTTAGTATAATCATACTGTGATATATTGACTTTTTTGTAACTAAAATGTCTGCGCTGATAATTACATGAATAATTTTATGCAAATTATCCATAAAGTTAAATACACATAAAACAATTTTCATATTATTTCAATTTTCAAGTTATGAAAACCAAATGAAAAAAAAAGAACATATTGAAATAGCGCTTGAAAATTTTAATTGCTTAAAGCCTAGTTGCAAAATTAACATACATTTTCGGACGAATATATAATGTAATACATGAGATTATAAAAAGAATAGTCGGAGATCTAAAAAGATCGACATTACCTTAGACAAAAGAAAAATACAAACAGACGAACGACCGTCTGCAGAACACTACACAGAAAACTAAAGCTTAAGCAACATGAAACAATTAAAAGGATGACAACTCAGGAGCTACGGAAAGATAAACAGTGCTTTCTGCACTAGTGGTACCTGTCTTATTGCTTATAGCAATTGAAATCCAATGATAAGTCGTATACGGCGATTATATGAAATAAGTAGAGATGATGGGGGCTACGACAAGTGGTACAAGTCTTAGACATCTGTGTCAAATTTCAAAATGGATACCTTATAGGTGTCTATTGATAATAAGGGTAGTTAGTTGGGTTCTGTTCTGAATGACTTGTAATCCATGTCTCCTTTCATTTATATCCAAATCATGATTGCATCTGAACAAAGGTACCACAGAGACATATGTCAAATAAATTAGGCAACACCATGCTCAAATGAAAAATGAGGATCAGACAAACAAAAAATCTCAAAACACAAAACACAAATCCTAACAAAAACCAGGGTGAGCTCAGTTATTATACCAAAAGTGATTTGATGATAAGTCGCATTAATTCTGAATGTCAAAATCGATGAAAACATGAATGAATTGTGGCTACAAGTGTATCATATTCATGAACATTAACCAAGTCCTGTCTGAGGGTGTCCGATCTCAACTTTACCACTTAGAACCCATTGTTCAATAGCTTCCATGTAAAAAGTAACATTTTAGCATGGGCAGAAAACACTACACTGTAACAACTATTGACTGGGAGTTCTCCATATGTAGGTGCTGTTTGAATGTTGCTACATAGAAATGGTATGTCCGCAAAGGGGAAAATTGAAATTATATGTTTAGTTGTTTACTTAAATGTTCAACCGTCCATTCAATGTGATTTTTTGGATTTAAGTGGAAAAATGATTTGAGTGTACCTGTATTTTCTTTTATTTTAAGTTAACTGGGATACCTGCGATTAAGATAGCCACCAAACTTTGAATTATTCAGTAGGATAATATTATCTTAAAAGAGTATACTAGTCTTTTCTTGAAAAACGACAGTGTGATGTTGTGTCTCGTGCGAATAAAATAACAGCCGTCGAGGACAGGTGCACCGTTAGTTCCCATTGGAATACCGACTAATTATAAAAACATTAATTAAACGTAACAAATATGTTGTTTATATACATGTTTTCAAATGCCTCATGGTAATCATTGTCCTGGTTTGAAAAATGGTATCATGGATAATATGTTAAATAAACGCATTTAATGGTATATAAAGTCATTCGTTTGGTAATTCCAAAATTCTTGCAAAACGTCTCAACCCTAACCTCCAACACCTTCCCCTGATCAAACCTCTGGGTTTTTTTCAACCGTGCATTTGAAAATTTCAAACCTTTAGCGAGGATTCTCACATTCACCCCGCCTCCAGTATAAAGACCTGCAGGAATGATTTATTTCTGTTAACTTTTAGTTATTATGTTTTTTCCTTTTATGATTGCTTACTTGACTTAATCCACTTCGTCCCATGGGGGACATAGGGCGACCACAGTAGCTTTCCATCTTTTCCTGTCCTTGGCTAGTTTCTTTGCTTCACCCCATGTTTTCCCAATTTTCTGTAGATCAGATGTAAGATCTCTGCGCCAGGTGGATTTTGGTCGCCCTCTTTTACGATGACCCTGAGGATTCCAATCTAACGCCTGTCTAGTTACATTTGTGTTGTTTTTACGTAAAGTGTGTCCAATCCATTTCCATCTGCGTGTTGTTATCGTTCTTTCTATTGGTTCTTGTCTTGTCCTTTTCCACAATTCTTTGTTGCTAATGGTGTTTGGCCACTTGATTCCAATGATGTTTCTTAGACACCTGTTTATGAAAACTTGTAATGTTTTTGTAGATGCAGCTGTTAGTCTCCAAGTTTCTGACCCATAGAGAAGTATAGATTTTACATTTGAGTTGAAGATCCTGATTTTGGTGTTTGATCTAAGTGCTTTGCTCCTCCAGACTGGTTTAAGGATAGCAAAGGCTTGTTGAGCTTTTCTTTTTCTTGATTGGATGTCTTCATCTGTCCCTCCTGATGTACTGATGACACTTCCAAGATATGTAAACTCTCGGACATCTTCAATTTCAGCATCTCTCACTTTGGTTTTGTTAAGTTGGTTTGCGTTTACCCTCATAGATTTTGTCTTTTTCGAATTGATGTATAGTCCTACTTGTTTTGCCGTTGTTTCAAGGTTGGTTGCTTGGTTTTGCGAGTCTTCAAGGCGATGGGAAAGCTGGTAGATATCGTCTGCAAAGTCAAGGTCTTCGAGGCATGACTGTAATGTCCATTTAATACCTAGAGGAGTGTTGTATGATTTCCGACTCACCCAATCTATAACTATCAGAAAAAGGAGAGGGGAAAGTAAACATCCTTGTCTGACACCGGTTGATACAGGAAATGGATCTGTCAGAGTCTCTGCATGGCTCACTTGACATGTAAAACCGTCATAGAGCTGTTGGATGACGGATATGATTTTTTCAGGTATTCCATAATATCTAAGGATGTTCCACAGTACTTGATGGTCTATACTATCAAAGGCCCTCTCGAAATCTACAAATGTTAGGTATAGGGATGTCTGCCACTCAATGGTTTGCTCAATGATGATTCTTAATGTGGCAATTTGGTCAATACATGATCTCTCTTGTCTGAAACCGGCCTGTTCATCTCTCAGTAACTTATCAACTTCTTTCTTTAACCTCTGTAGGATGATGTGACATAGGACTTTGCTAGGAATGGAAAGCAAAATAATACCTCTCCAGTTGCTACAGATTGATTTGTCACCTTTCTTTGGTAGTTTAATAAGGATTCCTTTACGCCAGTCATCAGGTATATGTTCGTCATTCCATATTTTGTTTAGTAGTTGATGAAGTTTATCAATACAGATGTTATCCATTGCCTTTATAGCTTCAGGGGGTATGTTGTCAATTCCTCCTGCTTTTCCATTCTTTAGTTGTTTTATTGCAGCATTTACCTCTGCTTTAGTTATATCTCCTGTCTTGATATTCAGGACCTGTCTCTCTTCGATGTTAGGTGGGTCTGTTGGAGGGGGTCTGTTTAGCACTTCTTCAAAATGATCTTTCCATCGTTTTAATTGTTCTTCAATTTTGGTAATAACATTGCCATTTTTATCTTTTACTGTAGCGTTTGAGTTGGATCTTCTGCCACTTAGTTGTTTAGTTGTGTTGTAGAGAGATTTTATGTCTCCTTTGCTACACGCAATTTCTGCTTCTTGTGCTAGTTGTTCAACATAGTCTCTTTTATCATGTTTACAGTTCTTCTTCACTTCTTTGTCTTTCTCTCTATAAAGGTCTTGTGTTTGCCTTTTCTGTTGTCTTGTGGTGGCATTTAAGACTTTTTCTTTGGCTTTTCTCCTTTCTTCAACCTTAACCCATGTATTATCTGACATCCAGTTTTTGCGTTTATACTGCATATATCCTAATGTTTCCTCGCATGTTTCTAGAATTACATTTTTTGTCTGCTCCCATGTGTTGTTAATATCATTGTTCTCTATATCAAGGTCACTTATAGCTGAGAATCTGTTTTGAAGAGATATTTGAAATTCTTCTCTTATGTTTGGTATTTTAAGCTTCCCAACGTTAAACTTTCTTCTTTTGACAACTGTTTTTTTTTGGGCTAAAAGTTTCATCTTTATTGACCCTATAACTAGATGATGGTCTGATGCTGCATCTGCTCCTCTTTTTACCCTTACATCTTGCAGTGATGACCTCCATCTCTGAGAAATAGTTATGTGGTCTATTTGGTTTTCTGCATTTCCTGCTGGTGACACCCAGGTTACCTTATGGCAATTCTTGTGTTTGAAGAGTGTTCCTCCTATGACAAGGTTGTTGGTAGCACAGAGGTCTGCAAATAGTTCACCATTTTCGTTCATTTTTCCTATCCCATGAGGACCGATTTCTCTCTCCCATCCTTTTCTTTCTGATCCAACCTTAGCATTTAGGTCACCCATAAGTACCAATAGGTCCCTTTTTGGTACTTTTTCTATAGTTGTTTGTAATGAGTGGTAGAAGTCTTCCTTTTCACAGTCATCTGCACCATTGGTTGGGGCGTATACTTGTATCACGGTGGTTTTTTGGAAACGTGAGTTAAAGCGTGCTGTGATAATTCTTGGTGAGATGGGATTCCACTCTATCAGAGCTGTTTTAGATCTTTTTGTTATTAGAAATCCAACTCCCTTTTCATGTGGGTCATTTTGTTTGGTGTTTCCGGAATATATAATTGTGTGGCCTGTATTCAAATTTGTCATGCCTGATGTGTTCCATCTAACTTCGCTTAGTCCTAGAATTTCAATCTTGTATCTATTCATCTCTTTTGCTACTTGTGCACATTTACCACTTTGGTATAGTGTTCTTACATTCCATGTGCCTATTCTGGTGGTGAGTTTGTTTGAAAACAGCTCCATCGGCCTTCGCGTCATCTGCTGTTTTCGGTTAAAAACATGTTCTTCCTCTAGTCTGTGACGAGAAAGAGTAGTTGCTTTTGTAGTCGTTTCTGTAATCAATATTTTTTTCCAAGGCAGGGTGATTAACCCTACGCTTAACCCCCTGGGCCCGGAGGACCGGCAGCTTTTCTGTAGGGGTTTCCATCCCTTAGACGATTGCTGCTGCTATCGAGTTCCATCTACCCGGATTTTCTGTCTGGTTTTACTACCATAGCCTTCAATTCAAAAATCCAATCACAAGGCAGTGATACTATTTAACCCATAGCTGGATTCAGACAGGTATATTGTCTTAAAAGATGAAGGCTAAGACATCCCGGTGATATGAATTCCTTTTTCACTAAATTTATAGTAACTGTGATTTTGACATTTGATTATAGAACTCAAAATAAAAAAGGATCTACAATAAATTCAAATGTAAAAATAAGGAGATGTGGTATGATTGCCAATGAGACAATTATCCACCAAAGCTCAAATGAAGCGGATGTAAGCAATTATAGGCAACCATGCGGCCTTCAACAATGAGAAAAATCCATACCGTATAGTCGTCTATAAAAGGCCCCGACATGAAAAATATGACCGGACGTGATAGGGTATTTGTTTCCAATTCCGTGAGAGGTCTTAGAGTTACAGCAGAAAACCTATTATCTTTTGTTTATTTTAAGCAGCTAAAACCTTATGTATGATCCAAAAATCAAATGGATCATCTTATCAAATGTTACCATATATAATTGCCATATTTGTTTTCATTCAATGTAATTTAAATCAGACCATTGTTTTTCTCTCTTTTGAAAAGATGTTTCACATTTTATATTTATATCTGGGCCTTCAACGGTATAGCTTACTACAAGGTTCGGGTTTTGCTCATCGTTAAATAGCTGTCTCAATGTCAATCATACCACAACTCGTTATTCATGTTTGTTATTCATACCATGTAAGGTTATAGAGACGTAATTCGGAAACTCCTTACCTGGACAAATTTCAGTCTATTTAACAGTAATTATGACCTTACCCTAAGAATTAGTGATTTCAAAATCAATAGGGAACTTCCTCTATATTTGACCTCAGTGTGATACATGACTGCATTCTTATGTGAAGGATTTGATTAAGCTCCAGAAACCACTTTCCTGCACAAATTGCTGTCTTTTCTAGTCACAATTACCTTGACCTCATAGGTAATGACCTCAAAATCAATAAGGATCTTTTTCTCATTATATGTGACTAAATTCCCATGCGGGGTTGAATCCTGATAAAAAATGTTTGATATAGCATCTGAAACCAATTTTCTGCACACATTTCGGTCTATTTTTAGTATTTTCGTAATGTCTTACTCACTGACGGACGGACTAACGGACGAACTGACAGAAGAACGGATGGACAGGTAAACAGTATATACCCCGCATCGTTTACATTTGAGTATGAGAACGACTATTTAAAGATAAAAATTGTCCAGAAGTAGCGAAAATGCTATTAACCCATTTTCAGCTTGGTGTTCATTGTTAGAAATACAACAACTAATCGAGCTCTTGCAGCACGTTTATTTGGTTTTTCTATATATTGTAGACAGAAACAATAATCCCTTCACATCTCTACTGCTATCAGTGTTGCCAGCGATAGCAAGAAAATCTCTTCTAGATATTGGATCATGGCAATGTACGAGACCAGAACAAGGTAAAGCATTTGTGATGATACTGCTGTTTTATTTCCTTCATTTAGCATTTGTATAATTCGTTCACTTTTTACACTCAATCTTCCCTTATGAAAACATATATTACTAAAAGGCGTTATAATTCATTAATATGCCTGATTGAGAAAAAAGGCAACCAGTTAGAATATTTCAAATATAGCTACAATAATTAATAGTTTTTCTTATACATTACATTATTAAGTTATGTGAGATGATTTCATTTTTTACTTACATGATTAAGTTGGAAAAATATGAAGCGACACTCCCTCCAAAAAAAGAAACAAAACAAACAAACAGGCTGTAGCAGAAACACACATTATTTGATTTCCGAGCACGCGACACGTGTATCTGGAATAAACTTCATTAGAGAATGAAAAAATCTTTAGAAAGTCACAAACGTTTGGGAACACAAGCTGAAATCAAAAAGTTAAAGTTACATATCTTCCCTTCAAAAATAATATATATGTGGGAGCATTTGTGTCCCTAGGACATTCTCTATTCACTTTTTCAGAAATTGCAGATTAACTTAAATGGAAAACTACATACTTTCGATCAATGTTCATATAAATTCAGATAGGAAAGAACAGAAAGTTTAAAATAACTTGATAAAACCCTAATCAATGTCGTTTCGAACGCAGTTTCTCACATATTCTCAATGCGTGTTTAGTAGTGCCTAATAACATTTCTGAATTTCTAATGATTTGTTGCAAATGGAGGCCTCCCCAAGCTATTGTCCGTAAACGGACGCAAATATGTCGAACTTTCAATATGGAAAACCCGTCCCCCCAAATGATTCATATACTATCTTAGTCAAATCAAGTTATAGAAGCATATATTGAATACAATGTGGTTATTTTCTCTACCAAACCACTTTTCTTATGCACGAGATGGTTTCACTATTACTTCTATTATCTCTCTTTCTATTTCTTAATTCTATTTCTTTATTCTATTTTTCCTTATTGTATTGTTTTTATTAGATCAATATTGATTTTGCTAAAATGATCTTTTACAACGCTCAGAACGATTGTAATGTTCTTTTTTTTTGTCATGATAGTGAATGGAGTTTTAAAACGAATATACAGGTCATACATCGTGGCAAAACGTTTTGAGTTGCCTTTACGGATTGTCTATCTTTGTATGTGTCTGATGAAAAGTGTAAATCCATGTCCCAGTTTCATATACTATAACTTGAAATATTGTAGCTTATGCAATACACTGGTTTATATTCATTTATTGTTATACAAACCGTCTGCATCATTGGCGCTGTGCGCACATTATTTTTGTTTGATTTAGTCATAATCAAAATAAATGACGACATTTTCGAGCTGTACAGTAGACCAACTGCCCTTCAGTAACTAATAAAAGGGGTACTGACACTGTATTCATTGTAAATTTCAAACCTTTTACTTTTGTTTTAGGAACAACAACTCCTTCGACGCCAACCTTTCTTGTAGGAATAACTGTATTCAATAACATAACCGCAATAGATTACGATCGCACATGGTCAGCTACTCTCCGACAAGGACAAACTTTGTATGATGCTCTTGTTTATCTAAACAATACAGATTCGACATTTAGGTATGTTTCATCCCGTAACGTTAGTTTATTTTAACTTTTAAAACTTTGTATTCTACGTTGTCTATATTACAAGCATCAAAGTCAATAGCATGAGTCAATGATTATTATTATCATTTAGGTAGCTATACAGAAAAAAATGAAACTACAAGTGTATTTCATTTCATAATCCTTTCGAATATTTACACTTGGAATATATTATATTATATGCCTTTACTGTCTTTATTTTTAAAAGACATCACACGAGTTTCTACTTATTCTCTGCAATGCTCGTGAGAGGCAGATTTCCAATTACATGTATTTAATAGAAGTGAATGGAAAGAAAACAAATAATAATAAATAAATAATTATTATTTCTTGACAAAAAGAAAATAGCAAATAATCGTCTGTTGACACCAAATTTCTACACAGACTCAAAACCAAAAGCAAAGGGTCTGCGTCGTTATTTCAGTTCTTCTTTAAACTTACAGTGAGGCCTGCAACACGAGGATAAATCTGCTGTCAACGGTAGAACCTTTTTTTCAAAACGATGTTATCTGAAAAACTACATGTAGCTGTTTTTCAAGAGAAATCTAGCGTTCTTTGTACAAACACACAAGGAACACGTGTACTGCTTCGATGATATAAAAAGTTAAATTGTTTAGATAAAACAGTCAATGAAGATCACACGAAAAATTTTTCATTCATAATATAAAGTTGGTAAAAATTGCCTGCATGTGTATATAACTATACTATTTTAAGTTTCCTGTATACATTTGGATTGTATATACCATTTTGTGTATACATCATAATTACAATGTCTAAATGTTTAAAGTTTGAATTTGATGGTAGAGAAGAATAGTATTATGATATATGTATATTCATCTGTCGATACTTATTTTTTTAATTTTTTTACCGCCATTCAAAAAGTTTCAAAAGTGAAACTACAACATGGGGTCAATATATCACTTCAATCAATGACATGACAGCGTCAACTGATGACAGACAGTACTGGCAAATATTAGGAACCGACGGCAGTCCTTTACAGTATGGTAATTCTTACATTTTATTTCAAATGTTGCAACAAATGTCTCATTTCAAAGCAATTATGATGTCAAAAATGAACTTTCTTCACCTATTTGTCTTTATTTTTTAATAATTTAATTTATTGAAATAGAAATATTTCAGGCTACAATGTTAACAAATTGATATGAATTATAAACAATAGCAACACACCACGTGATCAATCCTTAATGCTTTATTTTCTCGCAATTTGTTCAGCAGAACCGATGTCGCCTATATTTTTCTTTAGTTTCATCAATGTAGTGTATACAGAATTTTGTTTAATATAAGAGACAACAAAATAGAAAAATTCTAATATAAAGTCCTATTACAGTGAAAGCTCTCTCACAGGCAAACAACCCATAATTGAAAAATATAAGGGCATACACCACAAGCACGGGGACACATTCTACTGCATCCACACAGCACGAGCAACAAACCCTGCAGTAAATAGATATAAGAAGATGTGGTATGAGTGCCAATGAGACAACTCTCCATCCAAGTCAAAATTTAATAATAAAAATAGCAGGCTTGAATGAGTATTTATAAACATTTGAAAGCTCTCTCACAGGCAAACAACCCATAATTGAAAAATATAAGGGCATGCATATTTAGGTAACAGAAAGTGGTTGCTTTAGTCTAAATCTTTAATTTCGTTTCAAAGACTTATGTTTTTATGAATCGATAATGATAATAATTGTAATAAGAAGAACAATAATAATAATACCTTAGCAATACGGATCAGTAATAATCATTATGCAACATTACTTACAGCTATGTTTGTCTTTTTAGGAGCAAGCCAAACATTTCCGAGCCAGGGTGATAAATACACCTTTAAATTTACCATATGGTGAAAAATATATATGTGATAGAATTGCTCTCCATGCATTTTCAGTCACAACTGTTAAGTTGGTGTTGTCAAAAATGAATGATGGGTCTTTATTTGGATGCTTTTATACTTTCCTAATAAATGATGCAACAATTAATCCTCTTATCATCATAGTCTTTCCAGGAAAAAAGTATAAACAAAAACTCCGAGGTAAATTCAAAAAGGGAAAAGTCCATAAACTTAACAAAATCAAACGCTCGACTATATAAACAAACGAAACGAATGGAAAACAACTGTCATATTCATGACGTGTTACAGGCATTTTCCAAAGAAAATAATGGGTTAAACCTGGTTTATAGCTAGCTAAACCTATTGCTTGGCAGTAGTTTATAGTTCCGTTTTATAGACAAAATCGGAGAGCAACCCAGACAGACATAATTGGGATCAAGCAGACCAAACTGTGTAAGTTGAAATATACATCATATACATACAACACAACTGACTTAAAAAATCAAAATAACATACATGTTCGTTGTTGTTCTGCGGTTTGCATGTTGTGACGACTATTATATTATTTGTTTGTGCGTTTCTCTGTGATGAATGTTCTTGCGTGTGTTTGTGCTGTATTTCTTTCACGTAGTGTTGTCATTTTAGCGATATAACTTTTTTTAACAGTGTCATAAAGCGGGAGGTTTGGCATGCCATTAAACCAGGTTCAACCCACCATTTTTTCTTAAAATGTCCTGTACCAAGTCAGGAATATGGCAGTTGTTATCAAATAGTTCGTTTCTATGTATGTTGGCGTTTGTTTTTGGTGCACTTCATTGTTCCTGTTGTTCTTTTGTTTTCCTCTTATAGTTGATGTGTTTCCCTCGGTTTTAGTTTGTAACCAGAATTTGTTTTCTCTCAATCGATTTATGACTTTTGAAAACCGGTATACTACTGTTGCCTTTATTTATACAAATAAATCTAACAAATACGCCAACAATTTTTTTTTGTAGTTTATAGTTCATACAGTATAGTAAAACACAATGACATATTCACTTTATGGATTAAGTACAAATTAAGTAAAACATAAATACAAGGGTATACAAAATGAAAACAACACCATAAAAACCTGATGCGTCCGAATTGCATCTTTGGACCCAACTGCATTAGAAACGCACAAAGCCAAAACTCCTAAGCTGGATGCACAAATACCGAGAGTCATACCAGCAAAAGGAACACAATAGTACAGAGAAAAATAGAGGGAAAGCTGTACAGTAAATAAAATAATACAAAACTTCAGCACATAAAATATATTGCTCTATACCATCCTACATTATTTGTAAAGTAGACGCTAATTATTTAAGTATAAAGCAAAACTCTTTAAAGATACCGGGCTTAAAATTTTGTTCGCCAGACGTCTACAAAGACTGATCAGTGACGCTCGAAGCAAAACCGTTTTAGGCCAAATAAAGTACGAAGTTGAAGAGCATTTTAGATCGTGGTACTTTCCGATGAAATTTTTGAGAAAAAGGGCGAGACATTCTGTGACAAAACCCTGGCTGATTTTTTTTTTTGCTCAGACAACGGTGACGTTTTCCAAAGTCTGAGTAACAGTTCATGCTCTTGAATATCTTAATAATCTCTAATTCAGGAGGACATACTAATTCGACCCAAGCAGAAAAGTTTGGATTGTTAATGGAAAGAATATTATCAATATACATGTGTGTGAAATTATATGATCTAGCTTCGTTTATCTACTTGTTTTTCACCAGTGTCTGAAGGAACTCCGACACATATGTAAATAAGAAAAGGTCAACCAGGAGATGGTTTTAAAGGGTGGAAACATAGAAAGTTTTGATGAATTATTTCAATGAAAACGAAGATGTAAAATGTTCTAGAAGTGTTTTTGAGTTCTAAAGAATCCACATATGGCCAATGCCATTACGCGAGTAAACAGAATCAAAGTATTTCTGTAATCCTTTTTAACTGCGGACAAACTTTTGGTTAATCTAACAGACAATTCCTTGGCAGAACATGCAGATGAGCGGGCAATGTACCGTTTTTTGTATGGAGCTTTTGTTAAGTTTGGGTGTCCAATACAAACTAAGTAAGTCCTCAAATTTGTTGCTCATTGAAATATTCAATGAGGCCATGAATGACTTATAGTTTGCCAAGATCTCATCTTTGTCAAAAGTTACGATTAATGATAAGAATAGCCGTGTAGTTTGCATACCCAACTATATCAGTCTTATTCAGGACCGATAACTCTGTCGATAAGTATTGGCGGGTATACAATGTTGAAATGTACGCAATAACATATTTTTGTACACAAGTTTAAATTTCAATATGGATTTTTTAATGCCTGGATTTTGATTAAAACAGTATTATTTTTAACAATTATCGTGAAACAATAATATTTGGTTATTTTTTAAAGCAAAAATCAACTTATCGAAGAATTTTTCATAATGTTCACATGTTCTTATAGTTCTTTATGATATTTATTTCTTCGGTAGTGTACACGGGAAAGAGAATTATATATTTGAACATTTTAGAAAACTTGTGTATATCACTAAAACTAAACTTTGGAAATACATGTGTACACAGGTGTTAATGTCACCTGATGGCTTTTGGTTTGACACAATTCCTTTACATTGCCTGACAATTTGTTGTTACGTAACTTTATAACTTAAATCTGAGTTAACCTGTTCGTATGTTGGTCATAGAAACTTTAAAGGGACATTAACTTTAATAGATACATAGCATTTATCTATTGTTGTGCATGTTTCTTTCTCTCGAGACGAAAATGTGTTTTCTAAAAAGAATATATTATTTTTCTATATAAAGATAAATTATACAGAAAAAAGGGAAAAAATCTTTTAAAAAATTTTTCTTATAAATTTCAGTGGTAACTATTTTTTTCACTTCACACTTGAAATAATTTATTTTTTATCAAGAAATTTAGAAATCAATCATACCAGAATATCAACGAAGGAAATAACAGAAACAGCACAAATTCTACTTGGAAAATACAAAATGTTTAAGAATACATGCGACACTTCCTAACCCATCCGCCATTTTGAAAAATCCCGAAAAAATCACTTGTTTAAATCGATGTGGGGCATAATTTGCCCTCAATTTAAACTGTTTCGCCAGATACATTTTTTTTATATTCTAAATCGAGCAAAGTATTACTTTTATTTACGGAATTTGTGAATTTGATGTACAAGTAGACATGGGGTCGCTAGATTTAACATTGAGTCAACGGGGAAATGACGAGAAAAAGTACGATTATTACGAATCTCAAGGGACGTAATTTAGTCAAAAATTAAACTGCCAGAACCAACATTTTTAAGTAGAATTATGTTCGAATACCAAGGATATAGTTGCAAAAATTAAAAAACGGGTCAGATTAATGAGAAAATTGAACTTTCTTTAAGAACCTATGCATTTAATATGGGACAAAATGAAACAAAATGGCGGCTCGCTACGTCACCAAAGTCACGTGATGTCTTACTTAGTTGGATATGGACGAAAAAGTCGTCAACTTTGATCTTATTTTATAGTTATACGCATACAACAATATAAAAATAAAAATTTTATTTTAATAATGGTGTTGAAACAATAATCATTAATTTTAAGAGATCAAATGTGAATAGTGTGGTTTTTTTAAAGATGTCTGCATCCACATCCGGTAGGGCCACAGAATGAAGCTGCTTGGTTTGGTTCCCAGTTTGGATCTAGCTGATTCAAAATTTGTTCCACATCCGCCACTGTAACTTGGTTTTGACTTGCAACTTGCGTCAAACAAGGACAAAAAAGATAATCTTTACATGTTTTTAAACTATTTCGTATTCCTGAAGCAAGCTCCCTCAGTTTCATAGCGTCAGCAGTCAACTTACTGTAATCAGTTGATGTTACGACAGAACAGTCAGGTCGGAAGGGTACTAAGTTTATAAAATCATATGTCTGTTTGGATGGAAATTCTTTCGATATTATACATATGACATCTCTATCAGTAACTGAACTTCCAAATGCTGCAACATTTGGATCGCTTACACCTAAATACGCATTATGGACAGCATCTAAGAGTCCCGTAAGAGATTCCTCCGTATTTCCATTCACAGATTTTATGACAATTTTTCGCATAAGTCTTGATTTCCTCTGCAACAATGCTTCAGACGAAAATTCTTGAAATGCTGTACTATTTACCTCACATCGAGGGCGGAATGGTTCTAAAGAAAAATAATCGTACTCTGAAATATCAGCACGTACAATAGATACGGTGCATACCAAATCTTTTGATGTCAACTGATTGCCAAAGTTTTTCATAGTCTGTGATGAACTGAATCGCAAAATGTTTTTAACATCAGCAAAAATGTCTGAAACAGGTTCATTGTTTTCTGATTTAGATAGCGTATTGTTATACAATACCAGACGGGCCCTCATCTCGTCTTCAATGACAGTCATATTATTGTCCACGTCTTTCAAAAAATCTATGACGGCAAGCTGGTTTGAGGCCAGTGAAGTTTGAACCAGTTTATTAAAGTCAATCGTAAACAATGGACTATTTGTATCCACGGGAAGTTTTGCTAGTCCTACAACTTCAGAAAAATTACTGTTTTGTGACGCATTTATCATTAAAGCTTTAAATGGTAAGGTGATATTCTTGAAAATATCAATCGTTTCTTTCCATATTTGAGCTGTTTCGTCTTTTTCTTTGCGAAGTTGAGTTAAGTTGCTTTGCAAGTTGTCATGGTACTTTTGATAGCTTGCACGGGCCTTTTCCATTTCAGTGGCAACTTTGCTCCATTCCTTGACTGTAACATATTGCATAATGCCATCACCAAGCATCCCTATTCCGGTCATTATACCTTGTGACCATGATAGTTTGTAATTTTTTACAAATTTTGCCCTTACAGCTGGATTCTTTATGAACTGTTTAACGCCATTCAACTTTGCAATGGGCTTTCTAAATGTATGGGCAAGTTTACCTTTAAATCCTTTCCAGTTATTAATTCTTTTCCATTTTTTTAAGCTAGCTCCGAAATCACGTAAGTTCTGCCTAAAGTTCTTTGCCATTTGCTTGAAAGCTTTTGGCACAAGTTTTAATTTCTGAACAGTTCCTCTCTTTGTCTCAACTTCAAGTTCACTGTTCCCCATTCGGTCCCATAATGATTCTTGTGTTGTTGCAAGAATGTCTTCGTTACTAACCATGTTGTAAGCATTTTGAAATGATTTAGTAAACTTACTGACTGATGCTTCCACTAGATAGTGAATCGCTATGCTTAAAAGAGCGTTTTGTTTATGAGCTGCCAACATTTGGGTGAGATCGGCCAGTCTGTATTCAAGTTGTCCCATTACGCTATTTAGGTATAGCTCAAACGTAAGATTATTAATTGACGACGAGGCTGGTAACTTAAGTTCGAGTTGTGCTACTAAGGTTTCCTCGATATCTTGCAGGGATTCAACAATCTGAATAGTATGGTTTATATAGTATGATATATAAGCGTTATTAGTTGTTGCTGTTTTCAAATCGAAGAAGTTCTTCTTTGCCAGTACATATTCCTGTTCATATTGACTAACCATACCCTTTATTATATTGTCAAGACGCTTTATTTCGTCTCTGTCAGTGCAGATACTTTTATAGTATATACACCCATCTGAAATCAAAGATATGGAATATTGAATTTGAATTTATAAAATCTGATGACATCTTTGCTATAATGTATATAAAACAGTCAAAAATAGACAACTGAAAATTAATTAAAACGATCAATGCATTCTCGAAAGTGCCAATAACGGCCATCTTTGGTTCATAATATAATGCAATGTCTGATAATTCAGGTTTTTGTTCAAACTAAATGGTCAAAGGTAATATTATTGGTTGTGATTTTTTTTCTGGTAAAAGAGAAATAACCACAATAATGAAAAAAAAAGTGTCATCGCCTAAAATGGATATACTTATGTCTGGTAGGTCCGATACTTACTCCGAACGCCTGTATTGTGTTTCATAATTTAATCACCAATTGCAGATGGCTCTATAAGTAATTGTATAGAATTGAAAATGAAATGCTATAGAAGTGCATGTTGGTTGTTTGTGTCGTTGGGTTGCTGTCTCATTGACCTAATTTCAACTTTTTATTTATATAAATACATTGCAAGCTGTTTATGTGATAAATTCAATATTTATTGAGAGTCGTTTTTTTTTGCATAAGTTTCTATAGCAATATGGAGGCGAGAAATGCCCTTTCTACGATAATGCCCAAATTTACCTGATAATGCAGCTCCGAGCACAAGTCCGAGGCTTGTAGTTCTAAGCAAAATTGAGGCGCCTGTAACTAAAATTGAAATAAACATGTCAAATTTACGTAAAAAAAATAAATGGTGTTCATTGATTATCACAAATAATAAATAATAATTTACATTCTTGTATAGTTTCAATTCTAGAAGTGTGAAATTATCCCAATACGTCCCCATGTCGACATAAGAAGTAAACAAGAAGTTGAACGCCTGGTCCTGCAAGCCATATGATAACCCACTAACTCCTCACTATCAAGCTGCTGATCAATAGTGACGTCATTCTGTTTAGTAGCTCACGAGAATAGACTTAGTGTGACGGAAATATTTGTTTGATAAGCGGACGAGCGGATTAACGGGTGAGCAAGGTGATTGCAAACTTGGTTTTTATTTCTATACCTTAGTGCCTGGGAACATATCTCCGAATGTGTGAATAAATGATCACACCTAGTACAGAAATCTCCATTTGCAGTGCCGTTACGATATGAAAATAAGGAGATGTGGTATTATCATCATGAGACAACAGTCCAAAAATTATACGACAAAGATGTGAAGAATAACAGGTCACCGTACGGCTTTCAACAATTATCAAAACCCATACCAAATAGTAAGCTACTAGTATATAAGATCCAGGGATAGTAAGCTACTAGTATACAAGATCCAGGGGTGACAAAATGTAAAACAATTTAAAAGGTAAAGCAACCAGACTGATTTATAATAATTATTGTAACAATTTATAATACATCAATAAACGGAAAACCATTATGGAAAATAGCTACTAGAGACAACCGCTTGATTACAGTCTCTATGCTTGGGACAGGTCCATAAGGAATGTGTTGAGGCTAACCATGTTTGTGAGCGCTCAACTCTCATTATCCTAGGGTAGTAGTGTATTAACAAACTGTAAACAAATTACGGAACCAACGAGAATAAGGTCCTTCAAAGGAAGCCGTTTTTGTAATGCCAATTACATAATCAAATATCATACAAAAGGCGCATTACTCCAAATGGTGGTTAAAAATGGAGAAGACAACTTTTATTTCCTTGATATATGAATGATATGTAAAATATTTAAACACGTTTTTTTGTGGAAATTTGTCCTTTTATATTTTAAACATTTGTAACGTTGCATACTTATGTTCCAATAGCGTAGCTAATAAAGATTATTTCAAAAAGACACCAGTACTAACGGCAATCCTGTAATTGTTGTTTTATATTGATCTATAAAGATTGAGCAACACAAACACCTACAAAATCTTGCAGGAGGAACCCAGGTGCTCCAGAAACAGTTCTTGACTAAAAGTAACTCAGAAGAATTAAAAAATGTCTTCAACTTAAAAACACAGATAGAAATTATAAATGTTATACTTACATATTAGGGAACCCCATCCTCTTCTATAACGATGTAATAGTACTCCATTATCTGAAAGGTATGAAAAGTTTGTAATACATTTTGAAGTAATTAAAGTGACGTCTGAAAAGGTTGTTTTTCTTTAAGACTACCTATAATTTTCAAAGTAATGTTAACTATGGTGAAACCACTATATAAATCCCTCGATTCTAAAATTAAGTAAAAAGCATACTTATAATAAAACAATTTTATATGCATTTATTTGTTAGAATTTTTGCAATTTTGATCTTGACAAAAGTCGCCAATATAACCACTACGTGCAATTCCTTTACCATTCAGTGTTATAATATTTTGATGTCAGAGGGTTAAAACAACAATTCATCATGTCCAAAGCCACGATCTTATAATAACCTTATCCTGTGATCGTCAATTGTTTTGTTTAACGATCTGGTGCTGGTATAGACAATGTTCTTTTAACTTAAAATGTTTTCCAAGTTTTGTCGGTATAAGCAAAATGAGCTGTTGTCGGTTAAACATTGGTATGTTCGTTTAAGGTCATGGATACATTTTATTTTATCGATATGCTGTCTATTCCTGATTACGAATTATTGTTTAACCATGCGATACTATACGCCATCCAATACCATTTTGAATAAGTCGGCATATTGTCCATTTTAAAATAATTCCTATCAAATATTCTTACCTAGATTATCACCGATACTCTCATCAGAAACTTTCTTAGGTAAAACGTTTGCTGTTGGTAAAAGGAATTGGATTATTATACATATTGCATAAAACGAAGGAATGATATAAGTTAAAACAAATACGGTAACGTTAAACACACGTTATCGATTTACAGGATTTCTAATATGAAAAGTAAATAATCGATTATAAAACATAGACCAAGCCGATGATGTGAAATGAGGAGTACGGAAAAACTGGTTTAATCCACGTGTTAATTTTTGCTCATTTCAGAGTCAGTAAGGGTGTCAATTCTTTATTTCGTTTACATAAATACCTAATTCGTTTTTTATTTTATTTTTAAGGGGTGTTTTTTGTGTCTTATCAATTCTATGAGGAATCAGAGTTTGATGCCTCCGGTAGTCTCTATTTTTATTCACAACTGCATTATAGATATTATCAATAAGTATAATTGCTATTGTTAATTGTTCAGACATCCTGTGGTGGTTTCTAGATGTCTTTTTTGTGTTTTGTAATGTTATTAGGTGACTGTTGTCTTGATGCATACTCCAAATCTTCTTTTATTCATATATACTGTAATTGAAATATGAGTACATGTAGAAGTCAGTATGCAATAGTTTTACGGCTGGTAAATATTACCCTTATGATTACTGTATATTTTGTTGGAACTGCATTATTAATAACTTATGACATACTAATGAACAAGACTGATTGATTTTTGCCAGAGATGAAATTATATATATATACGTCTAAATATGTGACAACCTTATGATATACATCCCGTGGTTATACAGGGCTAACACCATAATATATGTATTAGATGTAGGCTTCTCATATCTGAGAGGCATCAGCCGGGAAGATATGTGACGACAACATCTGATTTAGATAGAAGTAATGAATGAATATTTTATCTTTACTCTAAAAAGAGCAATATGTTTTGATGAAAACAGGAAAAGTATCATTATCTCAAATTTTCCGGATGAAGTCACACTTTCAGAAGATGTTTTGTAGTTATGGATTTCGAATGAAATCTGAATTACGTATTTTTTTCTGTCATTAAATTGCTTCTGTATGGCAATATGAATCGCTGTATTGTCTTGTCTTTTTCTGGTTTAATTGCCAAAATCTGAACGTTTTGCTTGTAAATGATAACACTTCTATGTAAATATATAAATCGTTAGATAAAACGTCTGTAGTCATATAATACATTTTCTTTATAATTAACCGCATTAACATTTCAATCATTAAAAAATAAAATAAATAATAAAAATACAATAACAATGCTTACAACTTCTTTGTTTATTGTAATTAACTATACAGACGACTAACGTTTTACAAGTGTAATGCGGAGAAACATCAATCACAGAAATATATTAAGTATTTACATTATTCATAAAAAGCTGTCATATATTTTTAATAAAAATACATTACCACTGCAAGCAATAATTATACATAGTAACCACACTACTTTCATCAACATTCCAGAGTCTAAAATAACAAGAGCGATAACAAAATGTAAAATATGATATATAGAAATAAATAAATAATAATGATAATAACAGTATTAAAAACAATTGAAGTGAAAGTCAGTTTCAATTAGATTTCATTCTGCAAGTATTTCATGTATACAAATCAAATAGTTATTAAAAATCTTTTTAATTGCCTTTTTTATAACCTTAAAAATAGTTGTAACACACTCGTCCTGAATATGCATAAAAAGTTTGCCCCTACGTTAAGCAAAAAACAATCAATCATTAAAGTACACACTAGTTTCTTACCTTTGTGTAGGAATTATTAAGTTAAAAATGAATGTTAGTGATTTTTTTTCACATTTATAGGGCAAAAATTGTTTGTAAATACAACCATCATATCCTTGATAAATATCTGTTATGACAACTGACCACACCAAATAAATATCCGTGTCACATCTTTGTTGACGTAAAAGGTCGTAAAAGACGAACTTACAAATAAACCACAGATATAAGTACAAATCACTGTCAGAACAATATGTTCGTGATTTTAAAAGATGTTTTGCTTAGATTAGAAGAAAACATATTACTCATAGTATGTTTGTAAATAAAGTTTTTACAGGTCATCGTAAAATTGACGTAAACTAAGTGGATGATGTCTTTGTGAATTTGATCAGGCTATTCATGGTCTTACTTCTTTCCTAAGGTTATAAATGTGTGATAAGATTTTGTGAGGTAGACGAATCCGTCTTTAAAATAATCAAATTATTTTTGATGTCCATAAGTAGGCAAATCGATCATATTTTGACTTCATTAACGCACTACTTTCGTTTGATTTAAATTGGAATGAAAACAGCTGAATAAGACTGAAAAATGCTATGTTCTGTTAAGACACACAAGATTTTCACCTTGGGTAGACGTGCGTAAATATATTTCTATATTTCTCTTGAAAATGATAATTGTTTTCAAAGAAAGAAAGACTTTCTGTAAAGTTTCTCCAATTTCTCAAGAATGCGCCAATTTAATTAACATTGTAAATATTCTGTGAAAAAGTAAGAACTGGCAAATCGCGTGCCATTCAATTAAAAATTATAAGAGACTGTCAAATATGTTTCACATAAAATTCCTAAATTACATAACATTATGTAAAATAACTCCAAGCTAAGAAAATAAAAACTTAAAATATTAAAAAAAGTTCTTGGCAACTAATCGTAACACTCGTTATTTTGAGTGGAAAAACACAAATTACTGTGACTCCACTATACACTCTTGGTAAATGGTTAGGTGGCAGTGAATCATCAGAATCAACCGCTTTTACAACACCGTTAAAATCACTATGGACATAATTTAAGATTGGTAATTGACATTCAAATAACCAATGCTCCTGCAGCAATACAATATCGTAATTAAAGAATAATTCAGAAAATAATTGATCACATGTTGTAATACTTTTACAGTTAAAAGATAAAATGTTTAAAGGTTACAACACCCTTTAAAACGCTATTTACATTTTATTTTCTGTTGGCACTACCTTCTGTGGTTTATACGTCCTTTTTGGTGAAACAAATGTTGGTCCTTATAAATGCATAATATTGGTTAAGGTATTTCGATAGGTCTGTATATAAGTGGTCATCCTTAAACATGTTTCATTCTGTCTTGTGAATTTGAAGGACCTAAAGTAGAAACATTTGAGTTATTTAAAAGAGGAGAAGTCTGATTTTGTAAATGTTGCATTGCCTCGATTCCTCTCTAGCCTGGTGTATAATATTGAGATAGCAGTGGTTGCGAGACTTGATAATGAGGAGGCTGATATATGGCATTCATTACCGGAGGAATAGTACCAGAATAACTAGAACTATGAACATAGAACGCCACTTTGCCTATCAGATAATTTAACACCGTTGAAAGAACAATAAACGTATTGAATCCATCTTCGAAAGAAAAAAAAAGAAAAATCTTGTCCTTAGAGTTATAGATTTAAAAACAAAAGTATGTAGATCGTCAGTTGCCTGAAACAAAAACATAAAATTGATTAATGATAAACAAACTTATAAATAAAATTGCGGGACCAATATTTTTAGAAAAACAGGGAAATATAATGATGGAAAATTGTATACTGAAGAATGAAAATAAAATAAATGAATGAATAAATAAACAAATAGATAAACAAATAAATAAAATTTGAAAATAAATTGAAATATTACATTTGAAATATATGAATTGCCTTATTAAAGTTGTGAGACAGAATAATTGACGTAAGATTAAGTAATAAATAATTTCGTCTTTTGGTAATAATCAGGTTAAAAACATAAGTAAATCCAATTTCTAGAGTTCTTTTGATCATAGCTATAAAAAGTGATGTTGGGAAATAAAGACAATAAGCCCTATTGTGGTATACTTGCACTCCATAGCACAGATAACTTATAAACTATAAGAGGTAACAAAAAGAAATTATTCAGATGAAGAGATAATGTGATATTAAAATATTGAAAAGAAATATATTTGAAGAAAAATAACTATAAAAGTTAACGAATGACTGTGCTGCCACCTGCAAGACAGGGGGACAGCTAATTAATGGACCGACTATGACAAATATGTGTGAAATAAAATGTGTGTTCACTTGAATATTAATCAAATAACGCAATTGTAGAGTAAAGAAAATACAAACATATTAAACAAATTATGGTATGAGTACGACAGTTGTTTGTCCTGGAACATTGATGAATTTATTGCGTACCATTAAACTTACTAATTATCTGATTTTTTAAAACATAGCTGTACTCGTAACTATTGTTTCAGTTAGGAAAGCCCAAACTTATAAAGTATCTAGAGATTTGAGTTTTTTAATTGCGCGACCTTGTTACCTTTTGAAATAACCAATGAATATAGATAACTTGATTTTCAAATAAAACTGTGTACAAAACATTGTAGATAATGGATAAAAAAATGTTGGTTCTGATCTTGATTCTTTGATGTACATAAACTGTCTTATTAATAAGTATATTATTATTTTTATGCCCCCGCCGTAGCGGAGGGGGCATTAAGTTTTACCCTTGTCCGTCTGTACGTACGTACGTACGTCCGTACGTCCTAACATTGGTTTCCGTTCTCTAACTTGAGTTTGCCTCAACCAAATGTTATGAAACTTATACATAATGCTTATTACCACAAAGCACAGATCAAGTTTGAATTTTGTTGGCGTCACTTTAACCGTTCTAGAGTTATGCCCCTTTATAAATGGAAAAATTGCAAAATATTTAGTTTCCGTTCTCTAACTTGAGTTTGCCTCAACCAAATGTTATGAAACTTATACACAATGCTCATTACCACAAAACACAGATCAAGTTTGAATTTTGGTGGCGTCACTTCAACCGTTCTAGAGTTATGCCCCTTTATAATTTTTTTATTTTCTTCTAAATATCAAGTAATTTTTAAAATTGGAGTTATCTTCCTTTGTCAATGATTATTCATCTATGACCTAACTATTTCTTTTGTTGATTCATATTCCTGAGTATCCTGCATGGTGATTGGTCCAGAACTGCAGCCTCGAAAATTCATCATCTTAGAACTTAGAAAAAGACCAAGAGCATTTAAAGAAAAATACAGATAGACCGTGATAGTGAAATGGACTCGAAATTTAAATGGCTTTTTGAAAAATTGACAGAAATAGAACAATTGTGTAAAATTATGTATATAGAACAATTTGTTTTAAAATCACCGAAATATATTCTAGCCGAAGAGCCAGCACATCAAGGCGACAGAATTACCTAGAAACCTTGAACTATTATTGATTTTACTTGTTATCTCATATTAAACTACATCTTGTTTTCCTAACATAAAGTATTTTTTGGGGACAAGAATTTTGAACCAAACAGGGGTGGATCCAGGATTTTGGAAAGGGGGACGAAGTATGTAAAGATCGGCGAGCGGAGCGGGGCGAAAATTTTTTTGGACCTTTTTTTGACGAAAAAACATAAAATAAGTGTAAAATGCACTTTTTTAACGGTTCCTGACGCAAGGCATGTATATTTTTTAGTTAAAGTGTAAGAGTTGGACATTTTTGATGCCATATTCTCCCCATTAATTGTCTATTATAAAATGATTGGATGGATCCAAAGCTATGTACTAATATATTTGATGTGGGACTTGACATTGACATGGAAAATTCTCGTTTGTTGTATGTTTAATTAGCATAACGTCACGGATTTCTTGTTGTAAACAAGATATACGCCGGGCTATTCAATGATTGATTGATTGATTGTTGGTTGCTTAACGTCTAGTGGCAAATATTTCATGCATATTCAGGACGAGAACAAATTAACAATAAATACAATAGGTAGGTTCTGTAATAGGGGCTTCCGGGATTAAGGTCGGAGAAATTTAGCCTGCCACAGGAAATTAGGGTATATTGGATAAGGACAGAAATTTTGCCTTGCAACAGGTCACCTACGGACCCCTCAAAGAGTTGTTGCAAGGGTTCTTAACGTGCAAAGAGCGTGGCACTCTCCTTACACGAGGCATTGGATTTAACGTCCCCATTCTGACCGGACGTTGCTGCAATTTTGTACATCCCGCACAGCCAAACGGACGCCCCACTTTAGCAAGGGTTTTACTGCCGGTCGGAGGAAGACCAATGGTGACCATACTTCTATTCCCCAGTCACCCTTGGGGGTGCTATTCAATGAAATTTACAATACGACCGACACGAGTTAAGAGAGACATACAAGCAATTCTTATCCAAATGTTTGGTTGAAAGGCCACACCCAGCAGGCAGGTTGCAGTCGGGCCTTGAAAAAGTATTCATTTTATCAGTTCGACGAAACAGACATTCCGGTCAGATATGGAATTTACATGCAAACCCTCGGCCCCAAAAAAATTACGCCCGTTTTTTTATTCATCATGTTCATTTAATGCTAAATAATTCTGTTGGAAATTTTTGTTTCTAATAGCAAAAAAAGTGGACAAGATTATTGTTTTCAATCCAGATACGGCCAGAATTTTTGTTTAAGGCAAAAATCAGGGTCAGAATTTTTCTCTCAAACATCTCAGACTGCCCCCTCAAATCAAATGGTCCGTACCTTAGACCATAGATGGCTATTATATCTATGCTTAGACTTTAAATCTCTCTAGAGCTTATTGTCTGGGGATCATTATTCAGCTATGTTGTTAATAGGCTGGGGCGTGTTGGGTTAAACATGTTTTCGTAGGTAAATAATATTGCTGTGGAACTTTTTTTTTCATGAAAGTGTAATAGAGTATTACTTTCTGTTCGGTGGAATTGTGAAATAGAAGTCAATAAATACGTTCTTGCTCAATCCTTTGTCGCTTTGAAGGTGTCATGATTGTCATCATCAGCCTAAGCAATGTGTTACTGTAATTTGAATTTCAAAACGACTGAGTGACGTTTTTTCGACGCACTGGTCAACTCCGCCGTAGCGAATCACATGATTTTGACATAATCAATAATATATTACAGTAAATACGAGCGAAACATATCTTCATAAGTAAAGAATTGTCGCATAAAAAATAAATACGCGGAAAATGGCAAAGTTCACGAAGTTTAGTCTGATTAATCATTTTACAAAAAAAAAGTGCAAGTAAAAAGGGGGGGGGGGGCGTACGCCCTCTACGCCCCCCTCTGGATCCGCCTCTGCCAAAGGGGTATATATGATGATATACATAATAATGCAAAAATGCGTGATATCTAAAGATAATATTTACTAATGATTTATAATAAAGTTTTGTTGGATAGTGGAAAATGCACAGAAGGTAAAGAGAATATTTATCAATAAATCATAAAATAAGTTGACCACGGAATAGACGTAAATAAAACAAAGGAGTAGGCCCGGTAAGACCCCGTTTTGGCCCAAACACATAGCGTTTTTACAAACTTGTTAAAAATGTAAACTTGTAGCTATTTATTGAAAAGTAGAATACTTTTGTTATATAAATATGGGCTGGATTTGACAATAAAATGGAAATGCATCAGGTACTATCATCATTATGTCAGCAAAAATACTGAAATCTTTACAATTTTAGCATGTGTGCTACTTTTAAGACGGTTTTTGTCTAAAATGGAAGTTGTCGCACTTGTGATCAGTCGTAATATCTAGATATATGTTGTATTCAACAATAATATATAACATATATAAATGTTGAGACTGAACACGAATGCGGCCACTTCCATTTTAGACAAACACCATCTAAAAAGTGACGTTTTACGGCAGATTTGGTAGATTTTTCAAATTTTAGCTTGAATTTGAGCATCTTTAATGACAAATTAGTTCAAATCTTTAACATAAACTAATTGAATCGACTGAAGTAGACACTTAAGTGTTTAAAAAATGTCAAAAATCTTTCCTCAGATGTACTTTGAATTTTAGGCCGAAATTAGCCCTTACCGGACCTTCTCCTTTAAGAAAGTTTAATTTGTTTATAGAACAATTTCCTAAAAATATCAATGTAAGTGTTTTATCTTTTTAAGCATATTTAATAACGTTGTCCTAAAAAAAATTTCCCCCAGCTTATTGATAAATGTGTCAGCTTAGAAGGCATAAAGATAATTATACATACTTTTTTAAAATTAATATACTTGAACAACTTTCCGTTGAACTCAATATTAACTAGCTACAGCACACAATGCAAACTTACACTTTTATTTATTCTATTTATTTATTCATCTATTATCTTTGTTCCTTGTAGAACTCTGTGTCTTATCTCGACATTGCCTTTTCTATGGACTGATGATCCACAAAAAGCTTTTTTTTCCATTCAAATTTGTAAGCAACCAACTTTCCTATACAGATGTTTATTTTATGTACTTTTATCTTTTGTGAGTTAAAATTTGAGGCATTATTTTATGATTCTTATATAAACAAAGACATTTTCTTTAATACTTTATAGTTTAATGAATATGAACCGCCTGAACTTTAAACTTACAAAGCATTTAACATCTTAAATGTCTACTATGTTCTACTTTACTTTATTTTCTGTTCTAATACACGAATCTTTGTACCTTTATTAATTATCAACGACCATTACACCATTCTACACTTATTTAGATTTTTTTTTAATTTTCTCTACAAATTTCATTGATTTTCTCAAACTTTTATATATTTTTTTTATCTTACATTTTCTGGCTTAACATTTTCATAGATTTTTTCTTAACAATTTGAGCCTACAGATTACCAATGTGAAATTTTAGGTTAACAACTTTATTTTGCTGCTCAGTCTTCGCTTAAACAAAAGGATTCTAGCAAATTAACTAAATTTGCCCTTGAAGTAAAAGGAATTTGGACTTCACCTTTAAATTTACACTAAATGTAGTAAGCAGATTGGATTGTCTTTTAAGGTTAGTAAATATTTCACTGTTGTTTAGTTGTTTGCTATATAAATTTAGGAAATTAAAAGGTGTTTTTATTCATATTCACAAATACAATCGTGATAAAGACTAGATAAAATATAGGCAAAGCTTTGAAATAATATTAAATTAAATGATTTAAATAAAAAGTCCTTAACATATAAAAAGTATTTAACTTTTTTGGAAAGATAACGTTTGAAAATACAATTCTTATTTTGATACTTGATTTAATGTAAAAAGTATATAAATTAAGGGGAGATAACAAATGACATGACTGTTCATTTATGGCGCGTATACTATTGTCGAGTTTTGTATTATTGTTCGATTAATATCGCGGAATATTGGGTGTATAACTATGTTGAAAAATAATGTAAATTGTATTGTAACTGTTGTAAATAGATTCGACTGTGAACCAGAATAAATGTAAAGTCTCTTTTTTTCAGATCAAAATTTAAAATCTTAGTGAGTTTAGTGTGGCGTTACCCATGCTTACTGTATTTTAGGTACCAGCTTTAACATGTTGCAGTTAATTGTAGTGAAACCAACGCTTACTGCGCTAATGAAGTGTAAGGTTATGTGCTTGACATATAATCCATATAATTTACTAGAACAATCGCCGGATAGTAATTAAAAACTATGTACATATATATAAACTTTTATATCATTTCAAAAATTGTAATAGATGTAAAAATCAGTTGAATTTTGAACCAGTATATAGTGTGGCGTAACCCACGCTTACTATAGTTAGAATAACATCATCAATGATTGTTGTATATTATATGTTTTGCAGTATAGTGTGGTGAGACCCACGTTTACTGTATGGTTAGTAACATAAGAACTCTAGTTAGAAGTATCCCAGCAATCTTTCTTTTCTAACCAGACTCTTAAAAGCAATTGTCGTATGTGATTACCAACCAATCAAAATAAAGTTCAAATCTATGCTGCACCCGTCTTGCCACTTGGTGCCGATTACCTTTTCTGTATTTTTGTACGAGTGTTAAATCTGAGCTAAATTTAGGAGAGTTAGAGATGTTATTGTTGTTGAGCTCCCTTTACTTTGACTATTTGTTCTTCTTTGTCTTGCTCATAAAATCTCTGCCTGTCATCTTTTCTTTTCCTAGCTGCCCAGTTCCATGATACTTATGAATATAATGGGACTTCAAGAATTGTTACTTTAAATCCAGGGTGAGCTTTAATACATTGTTTAACTAAATTTCCTTTGGTAATGGTGTCAGGTGTTCTTGTGGATATATATATCTGCCGTTCTTAACAGTAAATTCACATGTAACTGCCCATACATACCCCTAAATATTCCCTTCCCCTCCTATTAGGGATTCAATAGTGAGAGCTCTGCAGCTACTCACGACACTGTTTTATGTTGGCACCTTTACTACAAATCCAAGTAATATTTTGCTCTGTTGTTATTGACACTTGAGATTCTAAATTTCCTTTTGCTATCTGTTCTTATTATAGGTTTCAGTTTTTGTGACCCAGAAGGAGCAAGCCTGCTACTTTGCAGGAATTAATTTGATCAGCTTTCTTTGAATAACATATAGGATGTATTGTTTTTGTTTGTAGTATGGTAAAACCAAAGTTTTGTTTTGAATATTCGCGGACCGGAAATTCACGGACCCCTCAATTGGAAATAAAATGGATAAAATTGGACTGTTTTATAATTGTTTATCAAATGCGCTGAATTGTTCTTTTTGTATGTTAAATTGCACACTATACAACATAAAAATCATGATATTCACAGAACCAAAAGCTACGTCGACCATCACCAACAGCGCCACCTATCATATAGTTATATTTACAATATGCACGAAAACACGATCTTTTAAATGCAATTGTTTAATTATGTATAATATAGAATTCAATGCAGAAAAAGAAAGAAAGTATGAGTCTTGTTTGGAGATAATTTTAAAATATGTTACGCAAGAAAAAGAGATAATGTTAACTTTGTTTTCAGATATAATATATTGAAAAACGCGTAAAATGTCATGTGAAGAGTTTAACGAATAATAAAACAAGACAACTGTAAAGAGTGATCTGGCGAACATTGTCTAGGTCTTTCGGATAACCATGATTCTCTAGTAACAATTAAGGAAAATATGCTGATCCAACACTCAGAAAACTTTTCTGAACACCCGCATCTGTCATCAATTTGCATCGAGTCATAACTTTAAACACAACATTTCAAGTTAAACCGGGCACCGAGTCATAACAAATAACACATCAGTGTACTACAAGTATACGGAGTCATATCTTACAACACAACAGTAAAATTAACAACGGGCACCGAGTCATAACTTATAACACAACAGTATAAGTAACAACGGGCACCGAGTCATACATGTACCATAAAAACACAACACTGTACTACGAATACTGAGTCATAACTTTTAACACATTATAAGTAACAACGGGCACAGACTCATGACTAATAACACAACATGATATGTAACAACGGGTACTGAGTTATAACATATAACAACACTGTACTACGAGCACTGAGTTAGAACATATATATCACAAAACTACACTAAGAGCACCGAGTCATTAAAAATATAACACAAGCTAAACATATGTTAATAAATATTTATTACAATACAATTTAAAAAAAAGTATAAATTAGATACTAGTAAGCAAATATTTGAAGTTTGATATAATGAGATCGATATAAGATGGATATGTTCATATTGTATAAGATACATACGTTCATAGCTCAATACAAGAAATTCAACATTTATCAAATTGTGGTAAAGATGGAAAACATGTTGATGTACATGGACCCTCGGGACATGCTGTATCATTTGAGATGTATTTATTATGCCATATGTGATATAAAATAAAGGTTTGCCATTTTGAAGTAAGGATTCCATACTGACCTTTCAGTATTGGTTTAACCAGCGACATAGGTACATTACTCGCTTTAATATTTTTCATTGTTGTAAGAAATGCAGCGTCAATCTTTGCATTGTTTATTTCAGCTTCATCAGGTTTGCCGCGGATGCTGCTGAGATCATATCCCCAATAACAATCTTTATTTGGCAAAACGTGATCCGCTATGTATCTTATAACGGTAAACCTGCTTCTGAAAATAGTTCCTGTTACCTGGCGGGCAATTCTACACACAGGAATATTAGTTTTCACTCCATTTCTTATTTTATTTGTAAGATACACTATCTCTTGGCTATCGCAAATGGAACTTTTTAGGTAGTTGTGAAACGTAGTGACCCCTTTACGAATTAAGTTAAGGTCGTGACCCCAATAACAGTTGCGATTAGGAAGAACCGATTTGGAAATAAATTTTAGAAGATCAAATAAATTGCTGTACATTTGTTTTGTGAGTTTTGGTTTATACATTTTAATAAACTTAAATATGTCTGATGGTTTCTCTGAAGTTTTAATGATTTTGTTTTTTATTTCTTCCAAAAAAACATTAGCTTCCTGTATTTCTTGTATTTTCAGTTTTAATTTATCAATGCTATTGGACAAAACCGTTATTAATGGCTGCAGATAATTATTTGAAAGGCGCTCAAGAGTGTTGCGGTTTGATCTTTCTATTATGTGGTTATAATAACATCTATATTTAGAATGCCCGTAAGTTTTAGAGACAAACTTATAAAGCGACAGCAGTTTTGGTTCATATTGTTTGCCCTTACTTGACAGATCATAAAGAAATTTCAGAACATACTGGCAGAACTTTTTCTGAAAAGTCTTCATACTACTATATGCAGAATTTAACTGATTTCTTGACTTGATAAGTGTATTTTTCTTTTCCTGTAATTGATCCCGTACACGTTTCTCTTCCTTTACACTAGAAACAACATCAACTATAGCAAACCCTACCGCTAGGACAGCACCGATACCCGAGGCTGCAAGCGCTAAGGTAGTAGCACTTGTTGCTACCAATACCGGCAATGTCATCAATATTTCTATAGGAAGAAGATTGACCTGCAAAGCCGCTGCAGATATAGAGTTTTTCACCCATTCATTGTACTCAGATAATATATCTGCGTTAATATAAGTAAAGTCATCCTTAATAGAACTATAGAGATTTACTAAATCTGTTAAATTCTTATCAATAGCAGTATCCAGTTCTTTTATGGTCAGAATTTTATCCTTTATATCAGTAACTTGGTCATGGATTTTGCTGGCTGTAGCCTCAAACTTACTTGGCTGACCATATTTTGACAGGAAACTATTTCTTTTCCTAGTCACTTCAGGCAGAAGACGTTTTTTTATTTCGTCTCTAAAAAACAAAAAAAACAAATAACTGCTGTAAATTCAGACGACAATGCGATGTTCAAAATAGTAATAAATTTTGACTGCTTTCATCATAATTTTTTTTTAAATTACAGGCGATGTCGAATATGTCAACGAGACAGCAACTCCAAAGACACCAACAATCAACACCTGGAGGTCAATATACAGGTACAGTATTTCACAGTAGACAGGTCTCTAAATCGTACCCAGTCTAAAACATTGTGAGTACATTAACCAGATGATATCAACGTGGTTGTTTAATTTGATATATGCTTTTTTGTGCTTCTTTGTTAAATATTTGTTTGTTTTTGTTCTGATTGAGATTATGACCCCTATTTTGACTATTTTACCTATTATGTCTGTTTTGTTCACGCATCGTTTTAAATATAATGGAATTTGATGCGACTGTCATGCAAGTGAGAGATTAAGCGCTATAAAACCAGGTTCAATCCACCATTTCCTACATTTGAAAATGCCTGTACCAAGTCAGGAATATGACAGTTGTCCATTCGTTTGATGTGTTTTATCATTTGATTTTGCCATTTGATTAGGGACTTTCCGTTTTGAATTTTCCTCGGAGTTCAGTATTATTGTGATTTTACTTTTTCAAAGTATTGTCATATAGACCAAATAATAAATATATGAAATAACATAACTAGTGAATAGGTTCCCGACTGTGAACAGGCACATGAACATTTAGCCGAGATTGAACTAGTTTTTTTTTTAGTTTTGTTATCTCAACCCTCCTAATTTTAATCGACTTGTAAAGTGGACTTAAAAGGAATGTGCAGGTAAAAAGCACATCCCTTTATAATGAAATGCATTCTAGTTATACTAGTTTAACTAAAACACCAATAATAAACAATACAATAGCAAAGAAGTTACTGAAAGCATTTTAAAAATACTTGACCTGTTGGTATAATACCATTCTTATGCCGTCCTATGTTTTCGTTGTTATGTAGCACATCTTTATCATTACAAAAATAAATACAACTACTGACTGATTTTTAATTACTAACCTCATTTTGCAAACCTTTGGATAATATAAACACCCTTTTGTGGCTTGTACAACTTTAAGAGTGGTAGTTGTTATAGCTGTAACTGCAGTAATTGTAAAAATAAGAGTACTGAAATATAAAAAATAGTTATACAATATACTTAGAGGGGTGGACTGTATACTCGAATAAGCTAGAATAAAAGACAATAATATTTGTACTCTGGATGATGATTCTGCGGATATCTAAATCAAAGGACAATGTATGATTAGTGTCATTTTTGGCCTCCTCTTCAAAAGACTTTATAGTCATGTTTCTTAGATTCTATTCATTCTAATTTCAACGAAAATAGGGGGCCAGTTGCAGTAGCGTATTATACCTTGTCCTTTTCTTGGTAAAGCACTAAAGTCGACAGTCGTGAACAATTAACGTATAGACAGAACGTTATAGTCAAAACCGTTATATAAAAGTTATAGACTGAAAGTAATGGGCGAAAGCCGTTATATATGTTACCGACTGAAAGTAAAAGGCAAAAGCCGTTATTTATATGATATAGACAGAAAGTAATAGGCAAAAGTCGTTACATAAGTAACAGATAGAAAATAATAGACGAACTCCTTTATATTCGTCTAAGACAGAAAGTATGTCATAGGCGAAATCCGTTAAATCTGTTATAATAAGTATCAAGTAATAGACAAAGGACGTACGTTTGAAATGGATTCTATACTGGCACCTGTACATGAAAAACACGAAGTTTTATCGAGCACCAATTTTATAGTTTTATTGTTGATATTCAACCCACATGTACCAAGTTTTAGAATAGTTTTATTTTTATACAAGAAATTTCTTGATGTTCCTAAATGGAATGTTATACAGACAGAAGAAGAAGTATACCTAACAACAAAATTATTTTCATTTACCTGTGTTTAATTTTATTGCAAATGGCTGAAATTGTTTTCAAGGTTGATGTTTTTTCTGAAATTTTTTAACATTTCACAGCGGTATAATACTTTTACTTTAATTATTCATCCCTAATTTTTATTAGCTTTGTATTTGCATTGTATCATAGATAAAAGTTATTCGTTCAGTGTATGTTCATTTGTGTTACTACGTCTTTTGATTGAGTTAAGCCATTTCAATTTATATTTTATAGTGTGTCTTTCTATGTTGTGATGTTACACTATTGTTTCAGATAAGGGTGAAGGTTTGGTACCATTAAAACGTTTAAACCCGCTGCAATTGTTTGCAACTGTCCTAAGTCAGGAATCTGTTGTTCAGAAGTTGTCGTTTGTTGATGTGGTTCATAAGTGTTTCTCGTTTCTCGTTTTTTATATAGATTAGACCGTTGGTCTTCCCGTTTGAATGGTTTTACACTATTAATTTTTTGTGCCCTTTATAGCTTGCTGTTCGGTGTGAGCCGAGGCTCCGTGTTGAAGACCGTACTTTGACCTATCATGATTTACTTTTATCAATTGTGACTTGGATGGAGAGTTGTCTCATTTGCACTCATAGTCTCATACCACATCTTATTATATCTATGAAATGTAGCATCACAATATTGAAGTCTAGAAAATTCATAGAAAACTCACAAAATAAATCTTTTTTGACGTAATCTATGTTCTTCCTCTGTAAATGATGAAAAGAAAAAGAAAAGAACTTAAATTACAAAGTACTTCAATGAATTCCACAAATAACATAGATTTTATAAAAAAAATATGCATAACAATCCCCTAAGCATTAAGAGTACCAGTCATGAAAACATACATATTTGAATTTGAACATAACTGTATGCAGATATTAAACAAAACTATAAAGGTTTCGTTCAAAACATATTGAGAACCTTGTGGTGTTCGTGGAAAGGTTTAACTTCTGAACACCAAACTTATTGAGAACCGTGTGTTATTAAGTGTGAGCTCTGACATCTGAAGACGAAAACATATTGAGAACCGCGCGGTGTTCAGTGTGAGCTCTGACATCTGAAGACGAAAACATATTGAGAACCTTGTGGTGTTCAGTGTGAGTTCTATCATCTGAAGACGAAAACATATTGAGAACCTTGTGGTGTTCAGTGTGAGCTCTATCATCTGAAGACGAAAACATATTGAGAACCGTGTGGTGTTCAGTGTGAGCTCTGACATCTGAAGACGAAAACATATTGAGAACCTTGTGGTGTTCAGTGGTGTGAGCTCTGACATCTGAAGACGAAAACATATTGAGAACCGTGTGGTGTTCAGTGTGAGCTCTGACATCTGAAGACGAAAACATATTGAGAACCTTGTGGTGTTCAGTGTGAGCTCTAACATCTGAAGACGAAAGCATATTGAGAACCGTGTGGTGTTCAGTGTGAGCTCTAATATCTGAAGACGAAAACATATTGAGAACCTTGTGGTGTTCAGTGTGAGCTCTAACATCTGAAGACGAAAACATATTGAGAACCGTGTGGTGTTCAGTGTGAGCTCTGACATCTGAAGACGAAAGCATATTGAGAACCTTGTGGCGTTCAGTGTGAGTTATAACATCTGAAGACGAAAACATATTGAGAACCTTGTGGGTGTTCAGTGTGAGCTCTAACATCTGAAGACGAAAACATATTGAGAACCTTGTGGTGTTCAGTGGTGTGAGCTCTGACATCTGAAGACGAAAACATATTTAGAACCGTGTGGTGTTCAGTGTGAGCTCTGACATCTGAGGACGAAAACATATTGAGAACCTTGTGGTGTTCAGTGTGAGCTCTAACATCTGAAGACGAAAACATATTGAGAACCTTGTGGTGTTCAGTGTGAGCTCTAACATCTGAAGACGAAAACATATTGAGAACCTTGTAGTGTTCAGTGTGAGCTCTGACATCTGAAGACGAAAACATATTGAGAACCGTGTGCTGTCCAGTGTGAGCTCTGACATCGGAAGACAAAAACATATTGAGAACCGTGTGGTGTTCAGGGGAAGCTTTAACTTCTGAAGACGAAAACATATTGAGAACCTTGTGGTGTTCAGGGGAAGCTTTAACTTCTGAAGACGAAAACATATTGAGAACCGTGTGGTGTTCAGTGTGAGTTCTTACATCTGCAGATGAAAACATATTGAGAACCGCGCGGTGTTCAATGTGAGCTCTTTCATCTGAAGACGAAAACATATTGAGAACCGTGTGGTGCTCAGTGTGAGCTCTATCATCTGAAGACGAAAACATATTGAGAACCATGTGGTGTTCAGCAACAACTATAAGTCCAGTCATCCATCAATTCTTTGATCAGTAAAATTATAAGAAATGAATGAACGAGAGTCTGTAGTGTCGGTTTTGGATATATCTCGGTATTTACGTCAAACCACGACAATTTTGTTGACTACATAGTAAAATATCGAAATCTTCTGAGAGTCCTTAGTTGTTTTTTACTGTTGATAATGTTTAATATAGAACGATGTTCCCGAGTATTAAAAAAACAGTTCCTTTACAAATAAAAACATTATCACGTACAAATTGTATTCGTTGGACGAATATTATGAAAGCTGAAAATTGAAATAGCCCTTTTAAATTTGGTGCATACGAAGCGTTTTCTGCGAAGAATAACGTATGCAATTCAGTTTTTCAGGTTATTTTACGAAAAACTACGAGTAAGATACTGCGAACTGAGTTACCGGTGGAATGTTATATTTTAGCAAATTTGTCAGTGAACTAAGAATTCAAGAATTCAATACGCAATACAATCCACTACTGATATCTTACCTGTTATACACTCTATACGATATGTTAAATCTGACTCCCACGTTATACTGGTTCCGTTTTGTCGTGGTATTAACATTCCGGGGTTTCCCTCTTCTGGGTAAGAACCGTTTAACATTTGTACCATTGCTACACTATTTCCAGTTTCATTCGTTTTACCTTTAAATGTATTTTAAATACACATTAAAGCAGAACATTCCAAACTTTTCTTAAGCAGAATTACCATTTTGCCACTTAAAGCAAGTATTTTTTTTAAATCCTTAGATTCATTTTTTTCTTCAACGATATATAAGTATTTTAAATTTGTTATGGTATTTGTAGCTAATATGCTATTAAATTCATTTAAGTTTTCAAATTATATATTTTCGTGTTATGAGTGCAACGTTTTGTTGAATTATACCGTAGACTTATATAAGTTTTCGGTAAGGTCATTCTGAACTAAACGCTCCAGAATAATACAGTACATACAAATATTATACATTTCGAAAAAAGTTTGGAAGTAAAAAAATATTCTTTAACAGTTTACGACATTTCTGAATTTGTATTGAATGCGTTTCCATCATTTTGGTGAACACTTCTCAACTACTTGAACTTTGAAAGTTCAACTCTTCATTTTTTTTCTGAAGCTGTTAGTGGTGTTAATTATATGAAGAAACTACCTTGACTGACGTCCAGTTTTTGTCGTATTAATATTATCCGTTAAACGTACCTATTACCCATGCGCCAAGCTCATTTGAATAAAATACTTGGATGGCATCACCGGAAAGAGAACGATATTTTGTTGTCAGTCCTGTGTCATCTCCAATCCTTTCAAACTTAGCTAGAGTTGTGTCAGGAGGAAAATCTTTGCCTCCAGTGAGCCGTAACATCTTGCAACCACCTGGATAACATATGATTGTCTGTTATCGGGTTAGACTTTTAATTTTTTTTTTATAAAATCAATATCTCCTTCCCAAGTTAAAATTCGAAAAAATCTCTTGTTTTCAGGATTATCTATTTCCTCAAGTGTAAGTTATTTTAGTTAAAATAAAGAATTACTCTTGTAATTGTTTCGCTATCTGACCTCGACGAAGTTCAACTCCACCTATATATGCAACGATATGTTTTTCATATACTAGCACCCACCCTCTTTTCTGTCCCATGTTTGTAAAAAAAAAGATAGTTTGTAAATGTATTATCTACGTAAGATTGAGATTGCCACAAGTAAAATAGATATATGAAATGAAATAAAGATAAAAAAATTAAAACTTACCACAGGAAACAATATTAGTATCGGGTCCAATCTTTTGCTGACATATTTTCAGGGAAAAATAACACGGCGATTTGTATTGTTTGCCTTTATTGTCGCATACCATTCCTCCTTCGCCAGAGCACCTTGCTGTTCTGTCATCGGCACAAACAC